ACTCCAGCCTGGGTGACTGTCTCAAAAAAAAAAAAAAAAAAAAAAAAAAAAAGACAGAGCCAAGGAGAGACAGAAAAAGAGATTTTTAGAATCTACTTTGAGTAGACTGAGAAGAAAGATCAGATTAGAAAACAAGAGCAGATGTCAAAGAAGAGATGGGGAGAAAGCCCAACATCATTCTAGTAGTCCAATGGGGAAACGGAGGCAACAGCATGGACAGCACTCTGTGGCTCTGAACCCAACCTTCCAATTGCAAGGTCACTACAATCTGAGGGAGTGGGAGGAGAGGGCTGGAGAGGGAGGGACAGGGAGAAGGCACCTTTCTGGGGCACTTGTCATGGTCACCCCTGGCCTTCTCAGCCTCCTCCCATCCTAATACTCCAAGGTGAGCTCCCCTTGTCGCAGAAAAATCCCCCCTGCACCCCCAGAAGCGTGATGGCGGCAATAAGGCCACAGGCCCTGAAGAAGAAGGAATAAGAGAGTCAGAGGGAAGCTGGGCTTGGTGGCTCAGCCTGTAATCCCATGCCTTTGGGAGGCTGAGGTGAGTGGATTGCCCGAGCCCACGGGTTCGAGACCCACCTGGGCAGGCGAGACCTCATCTCTACAATAATATCAAAAAATTAGCCGGGTGTGGTAGCGCATGCCTGTAATTCCGGCTACTCGGAAGGATCACCGGAGCCCAGCAGGCCGAGGCTGCAGTGGGCGGGAGTGGCCACTGCACTCCGGTCTGGGCGACCGAGTGAGATTCCAACTGAAAAAAAAAAAGAGAGAGTCAGAGGGAACGGAGGAAGGACGAGACTGGGACGCCCGAAGGGGACTGGCGGCCAGAGGAAGCTGGGAGAAGTGGGACCGGAGAGCTGGGCCCAAATCAGACAGGGCAGAGCAGTGGGGTGAGGGGGCGGGAGGAGGGACAGCGGGATGATGGAGCCTCCCAGCTCTTCCTTCCCTCCCATTCCCCCCCCCTTCTCTTTCATGATCTTGAAACAACCTTCAAGTCTGGGCTGGAGGCCCCAGGAGGCCGGTCACTTAGGAAACAAAACTGTTTCTTGGAGACCTTGAGAGCCATCTGCAGCTGAGCAGCGTCCCTGCCCCCTCCCAGTACACACACACATTCTCCCACGGACTCTCACGTACACTCACGCCCAACTTCGCACGCGCTCCCTGCCGCTCGCACGCACAAGGATGCACCCACCTGTGCGCTCACACATGCTTGTGCTCAGACCGCTGATGGCGATGGGCTTCCCACACATCCGGGTGAGCGTGTCTTCTCCTGTGGAGTCGCTGCTTGGTGTTGCACACTAAACAGTGCATGTGCACACACACACACAAACAGGCAAATACACACTCCTCTCCTCTTTCACACACACACAGAGGGGAATACACACTCCTCTCTCTGTCTTCCTCTCTCTCGAACACACAATCACACACTCCTGGGTCTCTCTGTCTTTCTCTCTCACGCACACGCACATACACACACAGGCAAATACACACTCCTCTATCTCTCTCTCACACATACACACACACATGCACAGACAATTACACACACCTCTCTCTCTCTCTCTCTCACACACACACAGAGGCAAATACACACTCCTCTCTCACACATACACACACACACACATGCACAGACAATTACATACACCTCTCTCTCTTCTCTCTCTGTCACACACACACACACACACAACCCGACTTTCCAGATCTTCTCTTACCAACCACTCTATCCCACTCCACCCCCACTCTGCCCTTTGTGGATCCCCTTTCTTTTCTGTCTTTCTTTTTTTTTTTTTTTTGTAGAGACTGGGTCTCACTATGTTGCCCAGGCTGGTTTTGAACTCCTGACCTCATGCAGTCCTCCTGCCTCGGGCTCCCAAATGCTGGGATTACAGGCATGAGGCACCTCACCGGCCATGGACTCTCCTCTGATCTGTGTCTTTCTCACAAGCCCACTCCCAGTCCAGCTCTTGGCCTTTGCACCTCCCACTGTCTTTAAAGTCATTCACCCTGTCCTTTGCTCCTCTTCCTCTGAGGGCCTTGATCCAAACTGGTACCACTGGCTGTGTTCAAAGGAAGCAGTAGGCCAACCAGGCATTCCTGGTGTAAGGATCAGGTGTCTATACCCTCTTACGTACTGGAGTCTGAGGTTCATGGTGGGTGGCGAGAAGGCAGACCCCCAGAACCTTGGCCCTCGGGGGCAGGGAGAGTGGTCAGTGACACCCAGGTGAGGAACAGGCCCTGAGTGTCCTGTCCGCCCTCTGATTTGTCTGAGCCCCAAATGTGTGAGCAGCATGCCCCTGGGGCTGTGCTCCAGCCCGAACACAGTGCATGGCAGGGAGCCCCAGCAGGCTGTGGGGGCAGAGGAAGGGCACAGTCCTTTCCGGTACTGAGCTTGGCTGCAGGGCCCAGAGCCAGGGCCTTTGGAAGGACTAGGCAGGCCTGGGAGGTGCCAGCAGGAGAGGGGGTGGGGGAATGAAGACTGACAGAGCCCAGTGCCTGGAGTCCACACCCCTTCAGGCTCTGGGCCTAAAGTCTCCTTTCACTTATGTCCTGGAGAAGGCTGGACAGACGAGAACTCAGGAATTCTAACCCAGTACCTGAAGGAACAGGTGCTTCCTAAACCTCAAGTTATCACATTGTCCCCCCAGGCCCAGGGCAAGACTGACTCAGTGTGGAAAGTCCCAGCCACCTTTGGGCCATTGTTGTAGCGACTTCTGCCCTAGACAGTCTCCCTTGATGTCTAACCACAAGCTTTCTTGCTGCATCAGCTACTCCCATCTCGCTCTCTCCTCTACACACGGGGCTATAACTTGATATCTGCTGGTGAGGGGGGACGGTGCAAAAAAACCGGAATTATCTTTTGGAGGGTGGATCCCGTGTAGTACAGGCTACGCCTACTAGGTAGGTGTTCTAGAAACCCATTGGCATCAGTGTACCAGCTGTTGTGAGAGGCTGTGTTCAGCTTCAGTGAATTTTTTTTTGGAGATTCTTTCAATGCTTTTGCCTATTTCATGATGGGTAATTTACAAGCATACCTGCCCACACTGCACTGAGTGTTCAGCAGTTTTTGAACAAAGATGGCATAATCACCATGTCCCATCCTCCCTATTTACCCAATCTCACTCCAAACGACCGTGTGTGTGTGTGTGTGTGTGTGTGTGTGTGTGTGTCCCTGAATGAAAAAAGTTTTCAAAGGGAAATGTTTTGCCAATATGGAAGAGGTGAAACAAAAAACGGCAGAAGCACTAAAGCTATCAACACTGACGAGTTAAAAACTGTTCTGAGCAGTGGAAAAAGCGTCATGATAGGTGTAATGCCATCAAATGGAGAGTACTTTGAGGATGACTAAAGTTTAAACATGTAAGAGTGCACAATTTTTTATAAATAAATTCCAGGTTTTTGCAGTCCCCCTCATATGTTCCTCTTACTGTATCTTCCCTGCATCTCTTCTCCAAGACCAAATCCTATGAGAAGGCCTATGGCTGCCCAACCTACCCACCCATCCTGTCTGTGACCCAGCAGGAGAAGGAGGGTGGCAGTGGGACACGACCTTCCGGATCCCTGTAATGGAAAATCTCAACTGCTGGACTGGAGGGGGCCAGTTATTTAGGGAATTCAGATGTGAGCCCTGTGCCCTGAGAGTGGATTTGCTGGAGGAGAGCTTGATAATCCCTCTGCAGGGAGTTCCCTCTGAAGCCAGAGAGGGACCTAGCCCGGCCAGGAGGCACCTCTGGGCCAAGCCCCCATGCCCGCCCTCTCTCCCTCCTCCCTTCTTTTGCATTCGGGGCGGGGCGCAGACCTGTCCCATTCAGCGGGCTTCCCTTCACCCCACCTCTGTGCCCAGAGACACAAGGACACTCCAGGAAGACCCGTCAGGAGAGGCGAAAGCAGGAAATTTTCTTTTCTGTCTGCCTCTTCTGTCTCCCCTCCCTCTCTTTGCCCCTCATTCTTTTGCTTTCATCAGCACCCCTAGACCAGCCGACTGTGTCCAGGGTCACTCCTCAACTTCGGTTTCTAGCTGGTATAAGGCTAAAGACACCCTTCAGCCCGAGGTGAGGTCCCCTCTCCACCCCCAGGCACATCCAGTTTCTCCCACAGTTCACTACAGAGAGGCTTGTCTAGCCTGGAAACTGCATGCTGCAGACTCTCCTTCCATTCCCTGCAGGAAGAAGAAAGCGGTCACTCTCCTTTCTCATTGGCATGTCTGATGTCCGCCATGACACTGGCCTCCACACTCCTCCCAGAAGCTCTGTATGTTCCTCCCATCTGATGTCTCCCCACACCACTCACCAACCCCAGACACAGATTCAGCCCAGAGCTCTTCAACCACGATGAAGGGAAGCAGAGGGGTCACCAAGCACCTGCTGGACTGGGCCCCTCCATCCTGGTCTTCCCTGCCCCAGGGCCCTGTCCTGCCTCCAGAAGTCTCCCAGACTTTAAAGAGCAGGGCTTTGGGGGACCCGCTCCCCTCCACCTGCAGACATCATGCTGCTTCTTGCACCAACTTCGGCTCCTGTGAAAGTTCCCATCCCAGGTGTTTCAAATGCATGGGTCAGCCCTGGGTTCGAATTCTAACTTTTTCTGGGCTTCAATGTCCCTGCATCTCTATAGTAGAGGGAACAGAGGAGGTTGGGCATAGACTTGGGAGACCTGAATTCTGGTTCTGTATTATCAGCTAATTGCGTAAACTCTCTGAGCCTCAGTTTCCCCACCTGGAAAAGAAGAAGCGTTAGATCACGTGGCCTCTGGCATCCTGGGATTCCAAGCCGATGGCTCCCCCTCAGCCTGTTCCGAAGGGGCGCATTCCTCCCTCTCCGCCGGCTTCCTCCCCTGTCTCCCTCGGTTGTGGCTGCCCCAAGCCAAAGGGGATTGAGGGGGCCAAGGAGGGGCATGCCGTCAAGGGCCAGTGCCTAAAGGGGCGGGAGGGGAGGAGTCCTCAGGGATCCTGTTTCAACAAACGTTTCTTTCCGAGGAGGGGAAGGCGGGGGAGCGGGGGAGAGGGACCTATTTAAAGCTACCCTGTTGCTTCGGCTGTCTCTGCCAGGGTCTCCGGCTGTCCCGGACGGGCGGGATCCTCCTGGTGACCTCTCCAGCCTAGGTCCAGCAGCCACCGTGCCCCAAGATGGGCCGTGGGGTGAGTATCCCCAAGGAGCAGGAGTTGCTCCCTGGAGGATGAGGGAGGCTGCAGAGAAAGGATGGAGTGGGAATGAGGTGTGGAGGGAGGGGGAGAGGGAAGCTGAGAGGGAAGCTGACAACGGGACAGTTTAAACTCGGAACTAACAGTCTCCAACTACAGAGGCATGTGCGGTCCCACGGTGCCCACACACCCAGGCAGCTCCCCTCCACCCGCCCAGCCCTGCTGACAGCCCCACAGTCCGCCACGCATGTCCATTCCCACATCCTATCCCTGCCCCTCCACAGGGCAGTCTCTCCTCTCACCGCATCCCCAGCCTCCCAGCAGAGGCGATGTTTAGCGCTGTCAGCCCTCCTACCTTTGCTACCCCATGAAAATGCCCATTTTTCTGGGAGTCCAGCCTGAGAGGACAGGGTTCCCATTTGAGCCTGGAGTGGGACAGGGGAGCGTGCCGCTCCCGGAGTCACCAAGCAGTTCCGGGCACCAGCTCCAGGGGCCCTGAGTGCCAGGGACAGCTGGGAGGGGTGTGGGGAGGAAGAGTGATGTGCCCCAGCCCCCACCCCAGCACCCCTCCGGATGTTCCCAGATGCATTGTCCTCAGGCTCCAGGCCATGAGCTCTGAGGACTTTCCCAGAGGCTAGTGAGAGCTGCCCCCCCTCCTCAGTCCACCCGGCCATGGCATTCTGCAGCGATGGCTATGCCAAGGAGAAGATTGACAGCCACGGCAGGGCGGGCAGGGACAGACTTGGGCGTTCTTGGAAATGAAATTCCCATATGGAGAAGAGTGGCCCAATCCCTTTACATACTGTGCCCAGCGGCTTTCCTTTTGTGGAATGCTGGCAAAAGAGGGCACAAAGGGAAAGGGCAGGGCAACGGGAGGGTGTGAGGATGACGGTGTCTGGGGAGCTGTGGGTGTTTTGGGGCTGGGAGGAGTTGCACTGAGCTGAGCAGCTGGGGACTCAGAGCCTGGACACCAGGGTTCCTGAGCTAGGGTGGGAGCTAGAAATAGAACCAGAGAGAGAGAGAGTGTATGTGTGTGTGTATGTGTGTGTGTGTGATGTTTGTGTGCGCGTGCATCCGCAACCACGTGTTCCCAGAGGCTGGAAGTTCTGCAGATATTCACGGATGAACACCTGCGTGTGTCTCAGCAGGCAGATTTGCAAATACACAGCCATCAGTGCACAGGCATGGATGCCGCCATGTGGGGTGTGGGGGGTCTGTGGGCCTGCATTTAGGAAGTGTCTGTGGGGTGTAGGTTTCACGGAGTAAGAGGTCACAGCCATGAGAAGATACACTCTTGGGACCTTGACATGTCTCTCGCTTCCCATGGAGAAGGCATCCCCAGCTTAGATGCAGGGCCTCTGAGGAGAGGTCAGGGAAAGCCTCCGGGCAAGCCCTCTACTCCCACGCCCAAGTGGAGGGAAACGGAGGGGAGGTAGCCCCTTATTCTGCTCCACCTTAGAGCAAGGTGGACCCAGCTCAAGGTTGCTGCATGGGAAGTGACTTGACCTTGACTGCTCCAGTCTGCCCTGCTCCCTCGGCACCCGAACTCCCCTTCACCTCCATCCCAGTAGCTGTGGATAAAGCACTCGAAGATCTGGGCTGTTTGGGCTAAGAGGCTGGGTGACATGGGGGCGCTCAGAGCCTGGAGCTTGGGGTCCAGACCACCAGGAGACCCCTACCACCCACAGCCCGTTCTGGGGATCATCTCACTCCCATCCCCCTTTCCCTGCCTCTCTGCTCCAGAGCCAGGCCTAACTGTCCCCCAGCACCCTGTGGCCGTGGAAGGCAGCGTGGGGGCTGGGAGAAGGGACGACACCGGGGGGGAGGGAGCCAGGCCTGCTCCAGCTGCCACGGAGAGGCTGGGTTGGGGGGACTGCTGGCGGGTTCCCAGCTGCCCCCACTCTGTCCTAGCCTCTGGCTTTCTCAGAAAGGACTCTCTGTTCTCCTTCAGCATTCAGGACCCAGAGAGGGGGACTTGTGGTTAGGGAGGGAGCGGCGGAGGGGGGGTCCTTGCTTCCTCCCTTTCTTCCTTGCCTGGGCAGCCGCTGGCCCCAAATCTCCGCAGGCTCCTGGCTGCGGAGCCGGAGATCCTTGCCAGGACAGGAGGAGGGGGAGGGGGCAGAGCGTCCCCAGCTCTGAGCCACTGGAGAGCAGGAGGGGGCTTGGGGAAGGAGGTGCCGCTGCTCGGCCCCGCCCCCGGCCGGCGCCCCGCCCCCAGCCGGCGTGCCAGAGTGCGTGGCCAGCAAGTCTTTCCACGCGAGCGTTTGATTCCAGTTCTCACGAGCCTTATTTCACATCTGAATGTGCAGAAATCCCTCTGCACTCTGCTGCTCGGTCCCAGCCCCAGGCCCCCTCCTCCATGCAGGCCCAGGCCTGCTCCTGCCCCTGAAGCCCCGAGGATCACACCGAAGCTTGTCCAGCCTGATCTGCCTCTGGTCCCTACATCGCGTTTCATACTTTTCTCCCCTCTGCCCATCTGGGGGCAGAGTCAGAGACTCTAAAGCGTTTCAATCCATTCGACTAAGTGACCTCTCTCAAGTCGCGAGGGAAAGGGAGAGGGAGAACCGAAACCCCTCCCTCTGGGCTGCTTCAGGAGGCCAAAAGTACCCTGAAGTCTCAGCCGCTGCTAACATAGTGCTTGATTTGCTGATCTTCTTTCCTGAGGAGAGTGCTTCTGAGCCACACAACCTCCAGAAGCTCAATCCTCTGAGGTCGTTGGTATCGTGGGAGCAGCAGGGTTGCCCCCTCCCCTTGTCCCCTAGCACCGCCTTTGTTGTTCCTGATTTCATAGGTCGGGTGGACGTCTGCCTCTCCAAGTACTGGATTTGTGACCTTTTATGATCAGGGCAACAGTTTCTGAGCTTCTCTTGACTCTATCCCGAGGCACGGAGGACTTGGGGCAGTGGAACTGTTTCGTCTGATACCCCGATGGTGGCTGCATGTCACTATGCATTTGTGCAAGCCCACAAAATACACAACACAGAGAGTGAGCCCTGATGGGGAGGATGGGCTCCGGGCAATAGTGATGTGTCCACGCAGCTTTGTAGCACCGTGGTGCAGGATGTTGGCAGCGGGGGAGGCTGTGTCTTGTGGAGGCCGGAGATAGATGAGAACTTTCTCTACTTCCTACGCAGTTTTGCTGTGAAGCAAAAAATTGCTCCAAAAAGTAAAGTATCTTTAAAAAAGCAAACAACACCCCCCCCCAAATGCATTATCCTACAAAACAGAGCAGACACCTTGGCTATTGATCCAACCCAAGTATCCACTCTTTATGGGGGGAAAAAATTACATCACACTATAGAAAAGCTAATTCCTGAAAGCCTAGTGCAGGCTTTGGAGTCCTGTGGAGAAACAGAGGTGCCAGCAGACACTGAGCCGACCCTCTGTGACAAGGACGCTGTATCCTGAGGGAAGTGGGAGGAGAGAAGGCTGAGGCGGAAGAGGAAGTGGGAATACACCTTTTTGGGACACTTGTCATGGTCAGCCTTGCCTTCCCCTGCCCCCTCTTGTCGCCCCAAGATGGCCTCCTCTTGCAAGGAGAAGCTTCCTGCCTGCCCCCCCCAGAAGTTCCCTGTGAGACCCTGGAAGGTTGTTGGTGGTGAGACCATAGGCCGTGGAGAGGGAGGAGGAGCAGGGGCTCACAGGGCTGCAGTTAAATTGCCCGTCTAAGTCAAGGTGACCCAGAGTTCTTCAACCTAAAAGCAGCACAAATCTTAGTTTTAGGTTCACTCTCAGATACAACTTACGTTTTCTGGACAGACTGGACCCAGTTGCCTCTGACCCAGTTGTGCTTTGGGCTGTCAGGTCCCATGAGCTGCCTTCTGTCCAGTAACGGGCAGTCCTGCCCAGCAGGACGGAAGGACTCCCAGCACGCCCTGTGTTCCCATTTCCTGGACATGCTCCGACCTCACAGCTACTGACTTCTCTCAATCCATCAGCCCTACTCTGTCCATCTCCAGCACTCCCCACCAGACCCTATTCTCCTCCAGACATCTCCCTGCCTAACCTCCTGGTTCCCCGAAGACTCTTACTCCCCCGAAACTCGAAACCGTCTCTCCTCCTCTCTAAGTAATAAGGTCATGGTGGTGGGCAAAGACGTTCCTACATGAGGGTTTCCACTCCCTCAACACCACACCAACCCTGCCCATTCCCTCCCAGAATTCTCCCGAATAGCCTAAGATGGCGACTTTCAAAATTTTGTTTTGTGTTGTGTGTAGCAGCAATGTCCTTCAATCAATAGAGTCTTAGCAGAGGCCCAAGTACTAGACTGCTGAGGTGTGCTCTTCAGTTTTGGGCCCCTCACGCTTCCCTGAAGCTCACACGTTGCTCCCCCGGCTCTGCCAGTAGGCCCAGACCAAGGGCCTGGGGTCTTCCCCCTCCCAGCCCCACCTGTCTCCTAGGTCAGTCACCGCCTTTGCATCCACTGCCTCCACTCCCAGAGCCTGGACTCTCTGGCTTTCTCGTGGGCATGGGGGCTCCAGCCCCTTCCTCCCTGACCCTCTGCTCCCCTCCCCTACAGGACGGCCGTGAGTACTCGCCTGCCGCCACCACCGCAGAGAATGGGGGCGGCAAGAAGAAGCAGAAGGAGAAGGAGTTGGACGAGCTGAAGAAGGAGGTGGCCATGGTAAGCCCTGCAAAGAAAGGTCCCCCACCCTGTGCTACTCGCCTTGCCCGTGCCCCCACTGCCCTCACGTGTCCTAGAGACACACTCAACCGTCCTGCCCAGAGTAACGTGCCTTTCCTTCCCCAGGATGACCACAAGCTGTCTCTGGATGAGCTGGGCCGCAAGTACCAAGTGGACCTGTCCAAGGTGAGTGGAGGGGCTTCTGGGGGGGACCACAGAGGTATCAGAGTGGGAGGAGCCTTAACACTCCGGTCCAACCCTCTTGACAGATGAGGAAACTGTGACCCAGAGCAAGTGCCCGAGGTCACATGGCTGGTTGGTGGCAGAGCCAGAGCTAGAATGTGGACCAGAGCTAGCCAGAGCTAGCCCAAAACTCTCTCCTCTATACCCTGGAAACCAACACTCCCTAGAACCCGGGTCCCAGAGGCCTCAGGCAGGCCCTGTCCTCTCCCCCAAGCAACTTCAGCCTCACACAACCTCCCACAGAGCCAACACACAGCAGCTGGTGAGGTACGTGTCCCCAGCTTTGGGGTGATTAGCTGGACTCCGGAAGCGGCCATTGCACTCCAGTTTGGGTGACAGAGTGAGACTCCAACTAAAAAAAAAAAAAAAAAAAAAAAAAATGAGACTCTCTTTGAGTCTTTTTTTTTCTTAAATTTTTTTGAATTGGACTCTCACTCTGTCGTCCAGGCTGGTGTACAGTGTCACACTCACAGCCACCCCAGCATCAACCTTCTGGGCTCAGGCAATCCTTCCGCCTCAGCCTTCCAAGTAGATAGAACTACAAGCATGCACTACCACGCCTGGCTAATTTTTGATTTATGGTAGAGACGAGGTCTCGCTAAGTTGCCAGGGCTGGCCTCAAACCCACGGACTCAGGCATTCCACTCGCCACTGCCTCCCGAAGTGATGACAGACTGTAATCGAGCCCAGCCTTTTCTTAAATTTTTATTTTACTTTGTGTGTGTGTGTGTGTGTGTGTATGTATGTGTGAAGACAAGGTCTCGCTGTGTTACCTAAGCTGGTCTCAACTCCTGAGCTCAAGCAATCCTCCCACTTCATCTTCCCAGCTTGCTGGGATTAAAGGTGTGAGCCACCGCGCCCGACTTCTGTTTGAATCTTTGATAAATGAGGGAATCTGAAAGAAGAGAGATAACGAAGGGACAGGTTAAGATGTCTTTCCAGGAAACTTGTCCCAGCTGCCCCAGGGGACACATTGTGGCCCTAACCAAGATGTGTCTCAAACCAGTAATGGTCAGAAGTGGAGCCACAGTCAAACCCTCCTCAGTCCTCGAGGCCTTCAAGTCGCATTGCAGATGCCACCTCCTCCGTGTGGTCTCCCCAATAATCCCCACCCTTTCCAACCAGGGGATTTTGATTCTCCTGCCTGGGAGCTGCTGGGCCGTGCGCAGGGAGCCGGCTGGTTCCCAATGTGTGAGAGGCATGCCCCTAACCTCTCTTCTTCCTCCCTCAGGGCCTCACCAACCAGCGGGCTCAGGATATTCTGGCTCGAGATGGTCCCAACGCCCTCACTCCACCCCCCACAACCCCTGAGTGGGTCAAGTTCTGCCGTCAGCTTTTCGGGGGCTTCTCCATCCTGCTGTGGATTGGGGCCATCCTCTGCTTCCTGGCCTACGGCATCCAGGCGGCCATGGAGGACGAACCATCCAATGACAATGTGAGCCAGCACCCCCAACCCCTGGACCAGCCCACCAACCCTGAACTCCCAACACAGTAGGGGGAGGGACCAGACCTTCACATCCCAGTCCAACAGCCCCCCTCCACTTTAGGCTGGAAGAGAGTGAGGCTTCTCTACACATCTGTAAAACACCCTCACACACATGCACCCACATGCCTATTAATGAGTGTGACAGTCCCTCCCTGTTCCTTCCTACTTTTGTGAGCTTGTCAGGGCCTCCCCAACCAGTAGGTTCAGGATATTCTGGCTTGAGATGGTTCCCCAGAGAAGTTCTAATCCTGGGAACTCCCTAGGACTTTCCCTGTCCCTTCTTAGGAGGCTGGAGGTTGGAAGACCAAGAATGAGGTTAGGGAAGAGGACTTCCTCCCATCATCCTCACTCCCCATCCTAGACAAAGGTCTAGGCTCTTGTCTTAGCTGCTACCGTGTGCTCATCCCAAGTGGTAGCTGCCTATATGGGGTTGGGGTACAGCCGATCCCTAAACCTTTTCTCCTTAACAGCTGTATCTGGGTGTGGTGCTGGCAGCTGTGGTCATTGTCACCGGCTGCTTCTCCTACTACCAGGAGGCCAAGAGCTCCAAGATCATGGACTCCTTCAAGAACATGGTGCCTCAGGTAGGCGGTGGGGTGGGCTTGGACCAGGGCATCAGGTTTCTGGGACAGTTCAGCTCATCCTTCTCAGCTCCTATGCGCTGAGATGGAGATGGGCAGAAAGACCCTCCATCTCTCCACACCAGCACCCAGTTTCCCAGGAGGCTTCTCTTTCTCATGGGTGGGTTGGAAGAGAGGCAAGAGACCAGATGGGGAAGGGACAAGCATTTCCTGAGGTGCCTGTGTCTCCCACAGCAAGCCCTCGTGATCCGGGAGGGTGAGAAGATGCAAATCAATGCAGAGGAAGTGGTGGTGGGAGACCTGGTGGAGGTGAAGGGTGGAGACCGCGTCCCAGCCGACCTCCGGATTATCTCTTCTCACGGCTGTAAGGTGAGGAGCTCACACCAGAACCAGTGCGGGGTCTGAGAAGCAGGCTGTGTTGAGCCGGAAGGAGCCCAGTTAGAGGCTTAAAGGTTGGGAGACCCAGGGTCAGACATCCACCACCACCCCCCGTCCCCTCGCTGGACTTTCTCTCGACCTGCAGTACTGATGCATCGTCTCCCTGCATCTCTGTGTTAGGAATGCTCTGTGCCCAGGTATTTCTTTGGCATCCACTCCTTAGCAGGCATTCATCGAGTGCCAGTTAAGTGCCACATGCCTCTTGTATGTTCTCGCATGCGACCTAATTTCATGCTGTGCAGAGCTGTGCCCTGATCAACCCAGGAGGTGCCATTTTCATAGACTTCAATATTAGTGGCGCCCCCTGTAGGTGTGTAGAGATTCTGTTTTGCATTTTCCATTTTACAAATGAGTCAATGAAGGCTCTTCTAATGAAGTAAGTAACCCAAGGTCACATAAGAAGTCAGGAAGAGTCCGGGCATGGTGGCTCACGCCTATAATCCCAACACTTTGGGAGGCTGAGGTGAGAGGATTGCCTGAGCCCACAGGTTCGAGACCAGCCTGGGCAACTTGGCAAGACCTCATCTCTACAGTAAGTTAAAAAAAGGAAAAAAAGAACTAGCCAGACATGGTGGCACATGCCTGTAGTTCCAGCTACTTGGTAGGCTGAGGTGGAAGGATCATCTGAGCCCAGCAGGTCGAGGATGTAGTGGCCGTGAGAGACAGAGTGAGACTCCAGTTTAAAAAAAAAAAAGAAGTCAGGAAGAGTCAGAATTTCGAACCAGAGAGAGGGCAATGGCTGAGCAGTGCCATAAGTATGCAAAGGGGGCAAGGGTAGTTTTGTCCCTCATGTCATGAAGATTGAGTGTGGCTGGAATCAGCTTAGGAGACAGCAGTGTGCGTCCAAGTGGCCTCTGCATCTGTTGATTATATACCCCTCCTCCACAGGTGGATAACTCATCCCTAACAGGCGAGTCTGAGCCCCAGACCCGCTCCCCTGAGTTCACCCATGAGAACCCCCTGGAGACTCGCAATATCTGTTTCTTCTCCACCAACTGTGTTGAAGGTAAGGAGCTAGGCTGCATCGCCGAGGAGTCAGAATCTGGAGTCTGTCAGGACTGGGCACTGTGGCAGTCCTTACTTGGCAAAAGCTCTGTCATAGAGTAGAGAATTGAGGACAGGTATAACAATCGTTCCCTCCAGAGAGCAGGGTACTGACCCAGGGCAATGTGACTCTGGGGGAAAGGCACCCTCCCCAGGAGATCTCTGTCCTATCCACCCCAAGGGTGAGTGCATTCCAGAGCCTTCAGATACCAGATCAAGACCACCTCCACACACACATACACAGACTCCTAGGATCCTTTGGATTCAACTGTTTGTGGTTCTGGGACGAGTTGCTTCCTTCTCTGACCCTTGCTTTGGCCATAGCCCCAAGCTGCCCAGGCCCAGTGAACAGGTGGGCCCTCTTTCAGGCTGCATCTGAACCTGTGTTCAGGCAGTACAGTGTGGCCCACCCTAGTTCTGGGTTCTGGAGATAAACAAAGGTAAGAAGGCACTCCCAGAGCTGCCAGCACTTAAAGGCAGGGTCCACGCACAACTGAACCCCTTCTGTGGTCAAGCCAGTGCATGAATCAGGGCTGACTCAGAAGGAGCAGGAGTAGAAGAGGCTGGGAGACAGAGGCCTCGCTAGACCATGGGCCTCTAAGAGTAGGGCCAAGGAGGCCTTGTGCCCAATCCACAACCTTCCCTCCACATTGCTCACTTCTCCTCAGCACACTGTGTTTCTCAGGCCTTTTTCTCCTTCAGCAAGTTGGAATTTCAGTCATCCCTCAGTATCCTTGGGGGATTGGTTCCCATAATACCAAAGTTTATGGATGCTCAAGCCTCTGATAGAAAATGGCATGGTATTGGCATATAACCAACACACATTCTCCCATATACTTTTATTTTGACTTGTCTTTATTTTTTGAGCCAGGGTCTCACTCTATCACCCAGGCTGGAGTGCAGTGGCACGATTACCACTCACTGCAGCCTCGACCTCCTGAGCTCAGGCAATCCTTCTGCCTCGGCCTCCCGAGTACCTTGGACTTCAGGCACATGTTACCACACCCGACAAATTTTTTTGGTTTTATTTTTATAGAGATAAGGTCTCACTATGTTGCCTAGGCTGGTCTTGAACTCCTGGGCTCAAGCAATCCTCCTGCCTTGGCCTCTCTTGGATTTACAGGCTTGAGCCATCACTCTCGGCCCCTCATGTGTACTTTAAATCATCTCTGGATTACTCATAATACCTAACACAACGTAATGCCATGTAAATAGTTGTCATACTCTGTTGTTTTAAAAGTTGTATTTTTATTGGTGTATTGTTTATTGATTTATTTATGTATTTATTTTGAAATATTTTCCATCTATGTTTGGTTGAATTTGTGGATGTGAAATCTGTGGTCGTAGAGAGTTGGCGGCGTGATTAGAAATCACCCCACTTTGAATTTCCTAAATTTTTCATGTACTGAGATGCTGAAACTTACTGTTTATTTCCAACAATTGATTTACTCAGAAAGACTTGGTAATATGCTTTTATTGCTTACTCTGCAATTGGCTTTGAAGAGAGGAGAGGAAATGAATGGTGCTGATGTTTATTGAGTGCCTACTATGTGCCAGGCTCCGGTTTAGGTGTATTACAGCACTATCTAACACAACCCTTAGGTAGGAATTCAAATAAGGATTCAGACCCAGATGTGGCTGGCTCTACATGCGTGCTTTCCACTACACCACACGTCCTGCCCCGAAGACCCCCATGCTGTCACACAAGGGTTAGTAACCGTGGGCTTCCTCTGTAGGGATTTCACACCTGATGTTGAGAAAGAAAATCTTAAGACTAAACAGAAAATCCATAATGAGTGCTTTACTGTATGTTCATCCTATAGTTCTGGGTGATATCGAGTATGAGATTGATTTCACTGAAATGCCTCAGGCAATTTTATTTCATTTCTCGAACTTCCTCAATTTGAACTTTGAAACTCTTTGCAAGGTTTCTCCCCTGGCCCAAGTACAAGAGAAAATCATTTGTGTTGTGTTGATTCTGGGATTGGTGATTCTATCCAGGAAGCATAAGCCCAAGTGAGGCATAAACTACTGAAAGTGGCCTCCAGGATCTGTGTCTTTCATTCATTTACTCTGTGGGTTAGGGTTAGGGTTAGGGCTAGGGCTAGGGCTAGGGTTCCCTGCTCAGGAGCTTGGATGGGATCTCAGTCCCTGGGTTAGGGACAGAGTTAGGGTTAGGATTAGGGTTAGGGTTAGGGTTAAGATTTGTAGTAGGGCTGAGGGTTGGACTTGATTTCAGGGTAGAGTTAGTGTTAAAGTTAGGCTGTTGGTGGGAACTCTGCCTCTAGGAATCACTTGGCACCTAACCTGTTGTACTCTTCCTTTCCAGGCACTGCCAGGGGCATCGTGATCGCCACCGGGGACCGCACCGTGATGGGCCGCATTGCCACTCTTGCCTCCGGCCTGGAGGTGGGGCGAACACCCATAGCCATGGAGATCGAGCACTTTATCCAGCTGATCACGGGCGTGGCTGTGTTCCTGGGAGTCTCCTTCTTCGTTCTCTCCCTCATCCTGGGTTACAGCTGGCTAGAAGCAGTCATCTTCCTCATCGGCATCATCGTGGCCAACGTGCCTGAGGGGCTGCTGGCCACTGTCACTGTGAGTGGGTCAGGCTTATATACTCGCAGGGGAGGGTCTCGTTCTTTCTTCAGCTTGACAGGGAAACAGCTGCTTTCTGCTTCTCAGTGACTGTTTTTTCCCCTGGAGTCCCTAAAGTCACGGAGTAGATGCTGCACCCAGAGATCACTTAATCATGGCTCAGACTCTGAATCTGAAAACTCTCAGGATGTGCATTTAGTTTCTCTTCTGGCGCTTGTCACGATCGCATTTTCTCACTATTTGTGCACTCCTGGCCCTTATCCTGGCCAAGTCTTCTGTCAAGTCTCTTGCAAAGGTCGCCAGTGACTAACTAGCAAATCCAGTGACCTTTCCAGCTCTCCCCTCAACTCTGCTGCTGAAATCGATATGCTGTCCACCCTCCTAGAATTCCCTCCCAGTGGCTGCTATGAGGTGTCAATGTCCTGGTTCTGTTCTCCTCTGTCCCCTCCTTCTCCCCCAACACTGAGCCTCAGGCCTCAGCCCTCTGCCTTCTTACGCCCTTAGCAAGAGCCCACCTCCTCCCTCATGCCCAGCGCCCCCTCTGTGGGCACCCCGCTCTGCTCTGGCCCTGTCTGGAGCTTTAGTCAAATGGCTTCAACTCCCTACTGTGCATTTCATCTTAATGAATACCCATGGTCTCAATTCAACACATCTAAAAGTGAACACACTCCCTGGCTATGCTGGTCCCACCCATACATGTTCACAGAGAGGATTCAGGGTCAGGTCGCCGACAGCTCCAGCTCCAGACTCCCCTTTCTGTTTCCCTTTCTCCCTGCCAGGTGTGCCTGACCTTGACTGCCAAGCGCATGGCACGGAAGAACTGCCTGGTGAAGAACCTGGAGGCAGTAGAGACATTAGGTTCCACGTCAACCATCTGCTCAGACAAGACAGGCACCCTCACCCAGAACCGCATGACCGTGGCCCACATGTGGTTTGACAACCAGATCCATGAGGCTGACACCACTGAAGACCAGTCTGGTGATTGGGTGCTCCAGAGAGAGTGAAAGGGACTTTGGGGTGCTCAGGGCACTTAGTGGCAGGTGGGTGAGGGTGAGATAAAGGTTCCAAAGGGGACCCACGCTCCTGGTGCTCCCGTTTCCTCCCAGGCGCCACTTTTGACAAACGATCCCCCACGTGGACGGCCCTGTCTCGGATCGCTGGTCTCTGCAACCGTGCCGTCTTCAAGGCTGGCCAGGAGAACATCTCTGTGTCTAAGGTAGGGGGTGAGCACATGCAACAGGTATATTTGGGTTGTCTCCAAAGGCCCCTCGCTGACTACAGCTTTCCTGTTCACACATGGAGGCCGCCTTGGGGTCTTCAGTGCCCTCCTCACTGGCCCTCCGCTTCCTTCCCTCCCACATTGTGACGCCAAATTCTCGTCTCTTCTGGCAGCGGGACACAGCTGGTGACGCCTCAGAGTCAGCTCTACTCAAGTGCATTGAGCTGTCCTGTGGCTCTGTGAGGAAGATGAGAGACAGAAATCCCAAGGTGGCAGAGATTCCCTTCAACTCCACCAACAAGTACCAGGTCTGTTTGGGCTGCTGGGACAGAGGAAGAGAGAGGGACAGAAGCAAGTGGGGGTGGACAAAGCCAGGGGGCATCTGATGGGGCGGGTATCTGAGGATCACAAGCTCTCACCTCTGCCTCACCCCGCAAGACATCTGGTTGCAACTTGCCCCCAACTCCCAAACCTTGCTACGCCCCTCCCAGGCCTGCCACGCTCTCCACTCTCCTTCCCTTGGCTCCCTGTCCTCTGGCCTGGTCGGCTGAACCGTATTTCTGTCATTCCCTCATGGTATCCCTCAGCCTGTAGGCACTTTGACATGCCAGGAAGGCAGCCTCAGCTATGTTCTGTCTGAGGTTGGAGTAGTGGGGTCTGCTGGGGAGGGAGCCATCCAGCCCCTCGCACAGTGCCTGTCTTAGCTGGCCTTCAACAATATCTGTTCAATGAATGACTGTCCTGTGGAGGTGAAAAGAGTTAGGACTACGAGGTCCAAATATCCTGCACGCAAGGAGATTCCCTTTGTTGGCAATCTTTATGGATCAGGGATGCTTTGTTTGTTATCTATCTATCTATCTATTGATTGATTGATTGATTGAGTTGGAGTCTCACTTCGTCACCCAGGCTGGAGTGCAGTGGCATGCTCACGGCCACTCCAGTGTCGACCCACTGGGCTCCAGCGATTCTTCTGCCTCAGCCTTCCAAGTAGCCGGAACTACAGGCACACGCTACTATGCCTGGCTAATCTTTTTTTTAAATTTATTGTAGAGACAAGGTCTCACCAAGTTGCCCGGGCTGGTATTTTTAATTTTAATTTTATTTTTATTTTATTTTTTTGAGTCAGTTTCACTCTGTCTCCCAGGTTGGAGCGCAGTGGCATGATCACAGATCACCACAGCCTCGACCTCCTGGGCTCAGGTGATCCTTCTCCCTCAGCCTCCCAAGTAGCTGGAACTACAGGCACTTGCCAACATGCCTTGCTAATTTTTTAATTTTTTGTAGAGACGAGGTCTTGCTCTGTTGCCCAGACTCATCTCAAACACTGGGCTCAAGCAATCCTCCTTCCTCGGTCTCCCGAAGTGCTGAGATGACAGGTGTGAGCCACTACGCCTGGCCAGGGCTACTTTATTAAGAGAGGTTTTCTCCCAGCCACTGCTCTGTGCCAAGTCCTGGGTGAGCACAGAGCTACCAAGATAAGCATGGCCCTCCCATAACTACCTGTCGTCTCTCCAGCTGTCCATCCACGAGCGAGAAGACAGCCCGCAGAGCCACGTGCTGGTGATGAAGGGTGCCCCAGAGCGTATCCTGGACCGGTGCTCCACCATCCTGGTGCAGGGCAAGGAGATCCCTCTCGACAAGGAGATGCAGGATGCCTTCCAAAACGCCTACATGGAGCTGGGAGGACTGGGGGAGCGTGTGCTGGGTGAGGGGCCGGAAATGGGAGACTGAGAGAGTTTCCAAACCTTGGTGGGGTCCCTGGGATGAGGGACTCTGGGACATCCAGATAGGCACCCCACTGCTCTCACACCTCCCTCCTGCCCCCCTTCAGGGTTCTGTCATCTGAATCTGCCCTCTGGAAAGTTCCCTCGGGGCTTCAAGTTTGACACGGATGAGCTGAACTTCCCCACAGAGAAACTCTGCTTTGTGGGGCTCATGTCTATGATTGACCCTCCCCGAGCTGCCGTGCCAGACGCTGTGGGCAAGTGTCGGAGTGCAGGCATCAAGGTACCGCCCTCCCTCCCACCCCTCCATCCTCACCTCCTTCATGCCACAGTCAAGGGACTGCAGCCGCAGCTGTCCTGAAGAGACCCAGGCCATGGATGGCCTCCTCCCCTCTGACTGAGAAGGGAAGCTGTCCATCTGTAAGGGATGGTCCGCCCCTCCGTGGAGCTCACCTCTTGTCCATTCCATGCAGTGTGGTCGATGTCCCCTCCTCTCACTCCTGCTTAGCTCATTGTCCCATCTGCCTGTGCGCCCTTCTGTGCTGACTCCAAGCGTGATCAGGCACCCCATCTTGGGACCTGGTTGGCCCAACCTTCCCAACTACTGCCCACTTGTTCTCCATGTAGGCTGGGATGTGCCGGCTTTTATCTGCGCCCGTGGCTCACCCCATAACCCCACAAGCTCATAGACTGCCCCCTACTCGAGCATACCTCTCCCAGGTCCTCTTGTCCATTGCAGATGCTTCTCACTGACCACTCCCTCCTCTGTGCTATGTTTGTTATTCATTCAACAAATACTTATACTCACTGGCTGTGTGTCAGGCACTGTGCAAGTGCTTGAGTTAATTCAGGCCCCTTTTATCTGGAGCTTACCCTCCTGTTCCCAAGACACAGTTCTTTACCGTGCCCCTCATCCAGTCACCAAGTCTGGTGCTATCCCCTGCTCTTCTTTTTTCAACATCTCACCTACTGCCAAGTCACTTTGACTCAACCGTCTACTGAGGGCCAGGTACTGTGCTAAGTGTTGAGAATACAAAAATGAGCAGGACACAGGCCCAGTCTTCTCGCCTCATGATCTTTCAGGAGAGATCAACGTCTTTATGGTTAATCCCAGAAGAAGAATAATAGTTAGGGTAATTGAGCACCTGGCATGGGGCAGACACATTAATAACAAACATTTTTTAATCTCAATTTTTTGAGACTTTATGTAAATCAGGCACTAATCTAAGCACCGAACCGATATGATCTCATTTAATCCTCACAACAACCCTATGAGTAAGCATTAGCATTTTCCCTTTTTTACAGAGAGGGAAACTGAGGCACAATGTCACATGCCCGTGGCCACACAGCTAGTAAGTCGTAGAGCCAGGATTTGAAACAAGGCTGTCTGCCATTTCTTAACCATCGCACCAGAGGACTTGGTGCTGTGTATACATGTGACTTCGTGCTGTGTATACATGTGACTTCTGAACCTCATAACCACTGTCTCCAAGGTAGGCACCATTATCCCCGTTTCAAAGTGAAAGGAACTGAGACTGAGAGTGGATGAGTAGCTTTCCGAAAATAAAACTGCCTGTCAGAGGTGAATGGGGACCATGGAGCATGGTTTGCTCGTCTGGAAAGCCCGTGCTCCTCCAGATCAGGTGCCTCTTGCTGTGACCAGAACTCCCACAGAGGCCAGGGCAGAGGACTCCATGGACAGTCAGAGCAGGGAGCAGTTAATTCTGCCTCAGGGAGTTGGACAGTGTTTAACTGAGGGAGTGATATTTGATCTGAGCTTTGAAGATTGAAAAGCATTCTGTAAGGGAAAGGCCAGGTCAGGGAACAGTGCGTACCCTGACGTGGCTAGACCATACGAGGTATGTGTGTGGGTTTGGCAAAGAGCACTGAGGAGTGAGACCGAAACCTTGGGTCATAGCCAGTCAGAGGGACTTTGCTTAAATGCCAGATGTGAGCTTTATCCTGCAGGCCACAGAGCCACAGGTGTCACGGGCAGGCAGGTCTAGCTTTCAAGAAGTTCCCTGGATGGAGAAGGTCCTGGATTTGGAGTAGAACTGAAGTCAAGGATGCAGGTGAAGAGGCCATTGCAATAGTCTAGCAGGGGACGATGACCTGAATTAGGGCAGTGACAAAGGGAGTGGAAAGGGATAGTCACATCTGAGAAAGGTTTTGAGAACTTGGTCACCAACGTGGATACTGGAGGTGCAGAAGATATCGAGGAGAAAGGGTTAGGATGCAGAGGACAGTGTCGGGAGTAAGGGCAGGTGTGGTGGATGGTGGGAGCAGAGGTAACGGGTTTAATTCTGACCCTAAGTGTTAAGCATCTGTAAGACACCCCAGGAGAGACGTTTCAGGGAAAGCTGGACCCTGGTCGAGAGCTCATGAAAGAGGGTCAGGACTGGAGACTTGAACCTCACTAGCACAATGGTGCAAACTAAAGGCTTGCTGGTAGATGTTATCATACCGCCCAGGGAGAGCACACGGGCCAAGAGAAGGGTGACTGGGCCACACTAACACTTGGGGGCAAGTAGAGAGGAGTCAGTGGCGGGGGTGGGGGCGTGGGAGGGAGCCAGCTAAGACTTCTGGCACATCCGCCTGATGCTGTGTCATCTTCGTGACCACCTGGCAAGACAAGAGTCATCTGCGCTATGTCAACTCGGTAAGTTGACAGGTCTAAGGGGCTGTAGCTGGAGATGGTGGATGTCTAAACTTACGGTCCCACCCAACTCCGGTGCTGGCGCTTCTTCCATCCTATGAGGCTGCCACGCTGAAGAGTCTGGGAAAGAACATGCTGAAAGGTGGGGACCAGGGTGGTGGAGTCAGGGGAAGCCAAGGGAGGGGAGGATTGCAAGGAGAGGTGGTCAGCAGTGCCAAGTACCCCAGGGGGGTCCAGCCGAATGAGGCCTGCCTTTGGTGTTCAGTTGGGAGGCCCCTGTGACCTTTGGGGGTGCAGGTTCAGTGCAGACGTGGGGGTGGGAGAGAAGCAGTGGGGCTAAAGAAGCCTCCCTTGGTATCTGTTGGATTTGCCTCACAAGGTCACAAGTGCAAATGCTAGCCTAGTCCGCTCTGCTCACCTTGAGCTTAATAGCCTTTTAAAAATAATTTTTATGTTACAGAGACAGGGTTTCACTATGTTGTTCAGGCTGGTCTTGAACTCTTGGCCACAAGTGATCCTCCAGCTTCGGTCTCCCAAAGTGCTGGGATTACAGACAAGAGCCACCATACCTGGTTGACTGTAATAGCCTCTTAGCCAGCCTGTCTGATACCTCCCCTTCTCCATCCCAACTCCATTTATTCTGCAACAGCAGCAACGAACATTATCAGGGCTAGGGCAGGGCTCACCATGCCTCACGCTATGGAGGATGTCTGAGGCAGATGAGCAAGGTGGCGAAGCAGGGACTCTGTCACCATCTTATTTCTGCTCTGTCCCTGGATTGCCACAGTGAGCACAGACACTGAGAACCTCGTGTCCTAGTTCTGGGCCTGTCACCTTGAGCAAATCGTAGGTCCCCTCTTAAGTCTCGGTTTCCTCATCTGTGAAATGAAGGAGCTGTCACAGAGCCCTTCCTGCTCTGAGGGCCTTGAATCCCATGAAATTCAAACTCCTAAGGAGTCTCCGGAGTAATCCCAGAGAATGGAGGCTTCCCTTCCAAAAAACTTCATCAACTTGTCACTATTTCTCCACTAAAGCAAGTTATCTCTGATCCTCTGAAAGTATTTACAACATATCATTATCTCTCCTCCTTATCCACTCAGCGAAACACACACACACACACACACACACACACACACACACACACACACACACAAAATTCCATTGCTTTGGCTGGGATCTACCAGCCCCAGACAGCTTGTGGCCTAGCTTTTCCTGACTTTGAGAAAGGGCTAGGAGGGAGGAAAATCATTAAGATTGCTTCCCTTTTCCCTTTTCTCTCTTGCTCTTCCCACTAGGTGATCATGGTGACCGGGGATCACCCTATCACAGCCAAGGCCATTGCCAAAGGCGTGGGCATCATATCCGAGGGCAACGAGACCGTGGAGGACATCGCAGCCCGGCTCAACATCCCTGTGAGTCAAGTCAACCCCAGGTGAGGCCTTTGCAGGACGCACCTGTCTCCATCAACACACAGAAGGCTTCAGTGCCCCCTCCATGTTATTAGGACAACATCTCTGGGACAGGCTTTACCACGAACACTTCTATGAGTGGTTCCTCAGTCCTGGGTCTGTGTCCAGCTGTGCTGCTGATTCACTGCGTAGCCTCGGAGTCATCACTCTACGCCCTGGGCCTCCGTCTTCTCAACCACAAAATGTGGATACTGGCCACACTGCAGGGCTGCTGGAGGAGTGGATGTGTATCAGGAACTAGCCAGGACCTAGCAAACTGAGTTTATTTATTTACTTATTCATTCATTCATTTTTGAGTCGGAGTCTCTCGTAGCCTAGGGCTGGAGTACAGTGGCACACTCAAGCCGCCGCAGCCTCGACCTGCTGGGATCAGGCAAGCCTTTCACTTCAGCCTTCCAAGTACTACAGTCATGTGCCATGGTGCTCGGCTCATTTTTAAGATAGGAACGAGGTCTTGCCAGGTTGCCCAGGTTGATCTCAAACCCCTGGGCTCAGGCAATCCTCTCGCCTCAGCCTCCCAAAGTGCTGGGATCACAGATGTGAGCCACGGCGCCCAGCGCAAACTGCCTTCATGGCCATGACGGTTTCGCAGGGTGAGGATTTAGCATTGCTTCATCAGAGAGAAAGAGGGAAACTGAGCATGAGGACAGGAGAACTGAAGCAATGGAGAAATGAGCTTAGCAGGGAGCCTGCAGGCCAAGGCAGTGAGGAGAGGCAGCCGGCTGGCCTGGGAGGTCACCCGTCTCTGCCCCGCCCTCCAGAGAAGCCAAGGCGTGCGTGGTACATGGCTCGGACCTGAAGGACATGACGTCGGAGCATCTGGACGAAATCCTTAAGAACCACACGGAGATCGTCTTTGCTCGTACGTCCCCTCAGCAGAAGCTCATCATCGTGGAGGGATGTCAGAGGCAGGTGAGCACAGCCACAGAGGCAGATGGTAGGAGGGACCGGGGGTGCAGGGCAAGGCCTGAGGAGGTGGACTTGGCAGGGCTTCGTCTTCAAGCGCTGGCCGGATCTTCTCCCCAGGGAGCTATTGTGGCTGTGACGGGTGACGGGGTGAATGACTCCCCTGCGCTGAAGAAGGCCGACATCGGCATTGCCATGGGCATCTCTGGCTCTGACGTCTCTAAGCAGGCGGCCGACATGATCCTGCTGGACGACAACTTCGCCTCCATTGTCACGGGGGTGGAGGAGGGTGAGCAGGTCACGTGGGCTGGGAGGTGTCCGGGATGTCTGCTTCCCAGGTCTTTTCCCCACTGAAGAGTCAGCCCAGGACTCCAGGCAGCCCCAGCCTGCTTGAGCTTCCCTCAGTCACAAAATCTTCCTCTCTCAGGAAGACGGGCAACCATGCTTCAGGGGCTGGGGAGGGGTCCTCTGATCTCCCTGATGCCCTCAGAACCTCCCCCACAGGCCGCCTCATCTTTGACAACCTGAAGAAGTCCATCGCCTACACTCTGACCAGCAACATCCCCGAGATCACGCCCTTCCTGCTGTTCATCATCATCAACATCCCCCTCCCTCTGGGCACTGTGACCATCCTCTGCATTGACCTGGGCACAGATATGGTGAGCCCAGGAGGTGGCAGAGGGGACAGGCAAGGGAACCCCATGGGCGCAGTGGGAGGAGGGGTGGGTGATGGAGGGAGAGGTGCCCTGGGCGGCTGACCAGGCGGTGCTGGTTAGAGAGAAGACACGCCCACGGCCTGGCAGACAGCAGGGTCTTAATAAATGCATATGTTCTCCACCATCAACCATCCAATGCTCCAGTCATCTCCACACCCCTTATCATGCTCTCCCCTTCCCCATGCTTTGTCCCTTGCAGGTCCCTGCCATCTCTTTGGCCTATGAGGCAGCTGAGAGTGACATCATGAAGCGGCAGCCCCGAAACCCCCAAACAGACAAGCTGGTGAACGAGAGGCTTATCAGTATGGCCTACGGACAGATTGGTACATGGGTCCTGAGGCTAGGGAGGCCGCCCCGGAGGGTTATTTCCCCAGTTTTCAGAGGCATGAGCCCCAAGCAGAATTCCAGGACAAGGCCAGCTCCCCAGAGCACAGAGATTTCCATCTCTGGCCCTGAGGGGCTGCCCCCTTTGCTTCCCTCCCTGATCCAGGCCCTGCCTTTTGCCCACTATCCACAGGGATGATTCAGGCGCTAGGTGGCTTCTTCACCTACTTTGTGATCCTGGCAGAGAATGGTTTCCTGCCATCACGGCTGCTGGGAATCCGCCTCGACTGGGATGACCGGACCATGAACGACCTGGAGGATAGCTACGGCCAGGAGTGGGTGGGTGGCCGGTGTACATGCAGGAACACAGTCATGCATGGGTGGAGCTGGGCACCTGGCAGGAGTGGCCAACTGGGGACCCCGGGGCTAAGGGCAGATTGGGTACCACACTCTGGTCCTGCCCTTTCCTGGGACACTCACGTCTCTCTCGCCACTTCCCTCCCAGACCTACGAGCAGCGGAAGGTGGTGGAGTTCACGTGCCACACGGCCTTCTTCGCCAGCATTGTGGTTGTGCAGTGGGCTGACCTCATCATCTGCAAGACCCGGCGCAACTCCGTCTTCCAGCAGGGCATGAAGTGAGTGTCCGCCCTGCCGGCATGCGCCCACCAGGCAGAGTGCTTGGGCACACCCACTCACCCACACAGGTCAAGCTTCTGCCCCCACATCACCTCAGCTCTGGCCCAGGTCTGCAAAGGGGACCTCAGATTGTCATGATCCAGTTGCATATCCACAGCCAGTTTTGAGAACGATGAGAGAAGAGGGAGGAATGGTATGACTGTTTCTCATGAGTTCTAACTTTGCTCCTGAAATGTACTCTGGTAGCGTCTCCTTCCCGTCTCCTTTCCTTTCATCTTCCTCCGTTCCCCCCTCCCTCCCTCCCTTTCTTCCTTCCTTCCTTCCTTTCCCCAACTCCTATGTGGGTGCCACCCACCACCATCCTTTGTCTGGCCCTCAGTCCAGGATCTGCTGTGCTCTTCTTCCCCCTGCAGGCAGCCTAATTAACAGCACTTGTCTCTCAGGGTCAGGCTCGGTGCCTCCTTGTGATGTGAGTTACAATGTGCCAGGCACCCAGCTAAGTGTCCAGCACACATTGCTTAACCTCACAATAGTTCCATGAGGTGGGTATTATTGTTTACAACTGATGGCTAGGAGGCCCCAACAAGGTTAAATGACATGCCTAAGGTCATACAGAAGGTATGGGTTCACCGGGGTCCATCCTAAAGCCCCGCCTTGGCTGATCCCCGATATTGCTGTGCTGGCCTGTCACAGAGCCTGGCACTGTTCATGACTCTAAGATTCCGGCAAGGATGCTGGTTGAGTGCTGAAGGTATCATGCTAGTTCTCTTTATTTTCTTCTACTGTGAACAGTGGCCCAAATGTCACAATTTCTTAGTTTGGGGACAGGGAAGATGCCAAACCCTGGTGAAGTTAATAGCACTTTAGATCCTTGGGAGAGGAAAGTGGGAAGTCTGTGAGTTAAATAAAGGTAACACAAAGGAAGGAGATTCCAGCAAGCTAAGAATACTGATGAGGAAATGCAGTTGGAAGAGACACGGAGCAGAGAGGCTAAGAAACTGGGTACCCTTCTGAGGCCTGTGTGGGTGACACAGGAAAGTGGGACGTGCCACGCTGCCTGAGTCCAGCCCGTCTGCACAGCAAATGGGAAGGAAACGAAATGTGCAAAGAAGCAGGACTAATACCAATAAATCTCCTGGCTGGAGGCAGCCTCACCTAAGATTCCTGGGTCACTGATGGTACTCAGAGATGCTACTTGCACGATTTTTAAAAGTTTTATGGAAGTCAGGCACTCACCTACGAGCTTTGCTGATGTGTCATTCTTAGGCAAAACCAAGAACACATGTCATGAAGTGGAGCAACTGAGGCACTGAACCACAATTGTTTGGAAACCATGCATATTTCTAATTAATCTTAAAAGGAGAAATATTTTCATTGCTTATTAACAAGTGCAACTTGAAAGACAAAAATCAATTAAAATGCGGCCTTTACAGATGAAAAATAAGAGGGGTCCTTAGTGAGAGAAAAGAGTGGGAACCAATGTGGGCTTAAGCCATAAAATGGTGCCACGCATAAGAATAGAAAAGATAGAGAGAGTGATAATAGGACAGCGCTCTCTCCATGTTCTTGTGCATTCGCTTTCATAATTTCCTAGCAACCCTGTGACATAAAGGTAAAAATCCTCATAGAGAAGGAACATGTGGCTTAGAAAAGGTCAAAGTCACTTACAACCCAACAATAGTAAGGGGCAGTCCTGGGAGTAGAATCCACCTATCTGACTGCAGAAACTACCTTGATTCTATCCTGCTTTTCAATCTAATTCAGTGAATGCCTGTATTAACCCCTTTTCTCCCCTGTGCCAAGTACTATACATTCTTTTCTTCATTAAATACCTGTGATGAACCACCACCAAGACCCGGAGGAGACACTGAGAATGCAGAAGACAGACATGGGCCCTGCAGTGAAGCAACTTTCAAAGGATCTCACTGGGGAGACAAGACTCTCACAGACCATGTGCCTAGAGCAGTAACAAGATTATTAGTTGCATGAGGGTGGATCCTATGCAGACCCCCTTGTCTCCAGTACAGAGCACACCTCCCAACACATAGAAACATTTGTTTAAAGAATGAATACATGTGTGCGATAGAGATCACTCAGAGGCCTAACCCAGTAAGCAGGAAAGAAATGACAGTTTGTCTTTGTTTTCATGAAGCATGAGGAGAGGACGTTGGACGAGAACAAGGACAGGGTCATTTGTGACCCTTCCCTCACGTTTCTTCTCTCCTCTCTCCCTTCCACCCAGGGCATCTGGGATCTCTCCCTCCTTGACCCCTTCAGATTCTCCATACCCTCCTTTCTTTGCCCTGCCAGGAACAAGATCCTGATCTTCGGGCTCCTGGAGGAGACGGCACTGGCTGCCTTTCTCTCTTACTGCCCTGGCATGGGGGTCGCCCTCCGCATGTACCCGCTCAAGTGAGTGTTTCTTTCTGGCAACCGCTTCTGCCTCAGCAGCCTTGAGCCCCCTCTGGGATCCGAGCCTGATCCGTTTGAATCCTACTCCACGTGACCACCAAGCCGACCTCTGATGCTCCTATCACTCGCCTCTGTTGCTTTCAGGGTCACGTGGTGGTTCTGCGCCTTCCCCTACAGCCTTCTTATCTTCATCTATGATGAGGTCCGAAAGCTCATACTGCGGCGGTATCCTGGTGGTACGTTCCTCCACACCCCGCCCCAGCCCTCCCAGAGTCCAACCCCCAGCCCCAGTGACCCCCTTCCAGGCTCCAAAGCAAACCCCACTCCCACCGTGGATACCTGACCCCATTCCTCAGCGCCCTCAGATCCTGGGGTCCCAGGTCCCAGGAGCCCTGACCTTGGAACCTGTTCTCCTGCTGACTCCCTGTCAGATTCTAAGTCCCACCCAACTCTCCAAGGCCCTCCACCTTCCACCTGTGAAACCTCAAAACATCAGAATTAGAAGGTCCCTTCCGGTCACCTAGTCCCATATCACAGATAAAGGGAAGAGATGCAGAGATGAATGTATTTGTTCAGGGTGGTAAGGCAAGAAATAGCAGAACCGGCACCAGAACCCAGGCCTCCTGATTCCCAAGCATCAACCAGCAAGTTATTTTTCCAACAAGCATTTTTAATCACATCACAGGGGTTAAAAATGGCTGGGTAAAAGCCAAATATGTTCTGGGGATATTGTTGGATTTAACTGCCCAGTATTTTGTGTGGGGATAGTATGTTTAATTGACCTGATGCCTAAGACTTGGGGGTTTCCCATAAAATCTGAGTCTGACTTCTCCGGAAGAATCAGAAGAGCTGTCGACCCCATGCCCACCCTTCTGCACAGCAGCAATGGATGGCTGCCCCCTCAGACGCACATCTGCTATCCAAGAGGCCCTGTGGGCATCTGCCCTCCCCCTGACTCTGTGCCCGCCCTCCAGTGAGCCAGATACAACCTCCCTCAAGGCAGGCTCACCCTCCATGCCTCTAGCCCATGGTCCTGCTCCCTGGACTTCCTTCTCCTCCCTTTCACCACCCCCCACCAGGCTTCTCAGTTCCCCTGGCCTCAGCAACCCATGCCCCTAGGAGGCTGCTCTCCCGCCTCTTTTTAAGCTCACACTGCAACCTCCACCCCGATCTCTCTAACAGGCTGGGTGGAGAAGGAGACGTACTACTGAGCCCATTGGAAGAAGAACCAGGCACAGGAAAGATGGGGGGCTCTGGAGGTGTTGCGGGGATGGTGACGGAGGATGGAAAACTTGATGTGGTCTTTTGGGAGAAGATCTGGGGGAAAACAGTGGGGCAACTCAGCAGGCTAAGTTGCAGGGAGTGGATAAATAAAGCAAGCTGGGGTGGTTGCCCCATGGACCTGACTGTGAACAATCAGATTAGATGTCAGCGTCCCCTGCCCAATCCCTTTCCCTCCACTACGTCGTCTCTTGCTTTCTGAGGAACTGAAGGCTACCCTAATCCTCCCCATTCCCTCCCCCTCGCTCCCTCCTCCTGTAACAGATCAGCATCCAAAGGCAGGAACCTGCCTCAACCAGGAGAAGGAAGCCCTCTCAGATCACCAAACGTCCAGCCTGGCCCGCCTCCCACTGTCACCCCTGCTTAGCTTCCTTCTGGACTCTGTCCCCTCGGCTTCCCCTTCAGATCTTGACATTACAAAGGCGCCTCGGTGAGTGCAAGAGCCTGAAGCTAGAAAGAGAAGCTGAGGAGAGAGGCCAGGCTGGTCTCCAGTCAAGGCTGGACAGGGACCCGGGGAGGACAACTGGGCAGGCAGGTGGGAGGTGGGGGTGGGGCTGGCTGGAGGGGAGCGGCAGCAAAGGAACAGGGTCAAGAAAGGAGAGAGATGGCACCCACATCAGGACATCTGACTTGCCTGAGGTCTCCGGATGTCTGCCGTGTGCCCCAGCTTTGTGCCCTGCCCTTTAGAATACCCCACAGCAGACCAAGTTCAAAACTCATCAGAGTAACAGCAGAGGCAGGACCAGAGGTGCTCGGAAGCTTCCGGGGGCCACCACGCCCAAGTGCCGGCCCTTGGTCAGTAGTCCTCTTGGTCCACGAGGCCCAGATGTCACAGAAACTTGGGCTCTCTCAGTCACATGCACCTCTCCCTCTATAATACAGTCCTTGGAGTTCCAAGCTCTTCCAAGAGGGATAGCTGCAGTTTTTCCCAGTCATCTGCCCCCAGCTCCCTTCCCCTCCATGCCCATTCTGATGAATTAGTGTCATTCCCAGGCATTGCCTTGTCAGCCCTGGAAAAAGAGCTCCCCGGCCATTGGCTGGAATTGGGTGCAGAAGTTCTCAGAACCTTCCTGCCTTCCAGGGACATGCAGAATCAGCGTAGGTCATGAACGTGGTCAGAACCTTTGGACAGCAAGAGGGAAAATGTTAGGAGACTTGCCTTTGATCTCCTTGGTGCAAGGGCTGTCCCTCCCAGGCAAAAGGCCTTCACCCTGCTGATCACTGTGTCCCTGTCCCTGGGCTGGGTTGATTTTAGGTTCCTGCAAGAGATTCCTTCCCTTCCCTTTCTCCCTCCCTCTCTCACATTGATGCTCTGCAGGCAGCTCTCCCCATTCGCTAAACCTGGCTTGGAAGGCACTGGGGATGTCCTGCACAGAAAGACCCCAACAGGCCATGCAAGTGATAGGGACACTAAGGAAATAAAAGACCTAAGGCAGACAGGAAAGAAACACACACAAAACACAAGCCCACGAACAGCCCCACAGGCTGTTACTTCATTGCACTGGAATTCTGCTTCATCAGAAATACCTTGAAGTAAGGGAGACATGACCTTGGGCTTGGGAATCTGCATGGGAGACCATACTCATTTCGACCTGATTAATTTGAGATGATCAACTATGGACAAAAGTTTATCTTTGTACTATCAGCAAAAATGCCATTTGTTTAGTAAATTAAGAGCATAAGCAATATTGCTAGGGATGGCATATTTAGTCTACCTAAAACAATACTTTTCAGGCACTTTAGAAATACCCATTTAAAAGTAGCGAGTGCATGAGCTAATTATCCTCAATCTTGTGTATTTGTTTAAAAAGCATCTACAGGATCTTTACCGGTAACTTTTGTAAGACATTAGTTTGAGGTACTACATATGTACTTGAAAATAATAAAGTTGCATTTCTTTATGAAAGAAGAAATCTCTTCTGTAATTCAGATGTCTATACTTTACACATGCCTCCCTCCTAAATTGTGATATTGAAATGTGTGCTGTGACAGAACTTGGCTTACAGAGGAAGCAACAAAGGGAGAGCAAGTCTCAGGCAGAGAAGGTGTGTGAGGGGCAGAAGTTAGTTTGCAAAATAACCTAGAAGAAAATATAGTACAGTCAGGTGCAGTGTAATCTCAGCACTTTGGGAGGCCGAAGTGGGAGGGTTGCTTGAACCCAGGAGTTCAAGGCCAACCTGGGCAACATAGCAAAATTCCTGTCGAGAGAGAGAGAGAGAGAGAGAGAGAGAGAGAGAGAGAGAGAGAGAGAGAGAGAGAGAGAGAGAGAGAGAGAGAAAGAAAGAGAGAAAGAAAGAAAAAGAAAGAGAAGAAAAAAAAGGAGGGTGAGAGGGAGGGAGGGAGGGGGAAGAAGGAGGAGAGGAAGAGAGAGAAAAGGAAAAGAAAAGAAAAGAAAAAACAAATAAAATATAGTAGCGGCCTCCTTCCTCATGGCTAATCTCACCTCAAGAGCCCCAAAAGTTTGTCCCCAACAGGGAAGGGCCTGTGAATCTATGAGAGCCCAGATCCTTAGGGCCACTTCTGCTTTTTATGTTCCAGACCAGAATCAGGCCACTCTCAATCTGATGGGGTAGGGGAAGGAGAAAGTGGGCTGAGGGCCCCAACAGTCCCCACCAATTATCGGGGTTATACTGTGTGCAGAGCCCCGTTCCAGGTGTGTCTTTAGCGGGTGGGGTTAAAGTAGATTCAGTCCTTGAAACTCACCCGAGTAGTAAATGTCAAATGCTATCATGGATGGAATGCAGTGGACAGTAGGGAGGGATGCTCATGTGCTGGAGATGGAGGGGTAGGTAGTGTTGTGCATTCCCCCAGGGGTCCTGGGAACGAGAAAGGGGAAGATGCTAGCCCTTACATCTTACACCAGAATCTCCGGTTCGTGGTCAGAAGTCAGTTCCCTCCCAGGCCATACTGAGGCCGCTTCAGTAGGACTCCAACTGTGTTGACCATGATCATTATGGCAGTGATAGTGGAAGCATTATCTGCAGCTCATGTGTGCTATAAGTCTGTCAAACTTTTATTTGTAGAGTCTCCTTTTATCCCACCTCAGGGCTTTTATCTTTGATGTCCCTTCTGCCAGGAACACTTTTCCCTAGTCCTTCACATGCCAGGCTTTTCCTCTTCATTCAGGTCTCTCCTTAGACATCACCTCCTCAGAAAGGGCCTCACGGGCCCCTCAAATACAGTAACACTTGGTACCTCTTTCTCCATGCTCTTTGTTTTGTTTTTTCATAAATACCACCTCAAATTTAGATAGATGGATGGATGGAATATATAAAAATATGTACATATAATTTCAGTGTGTGTGTGTATATATATAGTTTGTATTTATACTTTTGTTTGTTTGCCTGACTCTTCCAGAATAAGCTCCATGAAAATAAGGATTCTATTTCTTTAGCTCAACACCTTTATTCTTAGCACCTAAATAATATCTGACACACACTAGGCAATTACTAAATACTTGTTGGATGACTGAGTCTTCACAATAATCCAGTAAGTGGGGACTATTATTACCTCCAATTTAAAGATGAGAAAACTGAGGTTCAGAAAGGTTAAATTGTGTTCAAAGTTGCCAAGTTAGTAAGTATGGGAAGCAGGACTGAAACCTAGGTCTGTCTTCAGGGCCAGCCCGGTTGACCACCGAGCTGAGCTCCACAACTGCAGGAACAGGAAGCCTTTGGGCATGAGGGGACCTGATTGGGCTCAGTGAACTGGGGAGACCGCAAAGGGGCCCAGGAATCTGTAGACCAAGAACACTTGAGCAGTAGGGGATAGGCAGACCCATGAATTAGAACCAGAGAAAGGGAAAAGACGTGATCTTAAAGTCGTAGTCGGGAGGTCAGAGAAAGACACAAAGAGGTTCAACAATCTGCTAGAAGATCTTAGCAAGAACAGGAGAAAATCTTACTGTTGAATGTAATCTGAGAAGCTAAGGTCAACCTCTGACCCAGGCAGAAAGGCTTTCCATGGCATTTTCTTTTTAATCACCAGAATAGAAAACGGAATAATGCATCAGAGAGAGATGCTAAATATTCATAATGCTAGGCATGCAGCAGAAAGTAGAAAGTGATTAGATCAATATCAAAAGAGGACATTTAATACAAGTGAGTTCTTCCAAAACATCCTGTCTTTAGTGAATTCAATGGAAAAACTTTTTATCCAATTCCACAAAGAAAATTCTTATATTATTTAAAATGTGCTAGGATGTAGAAAATAATTATGTTTTGTCCAGCCAATTTTACAAGACAAGTACTGTTTTGATTAAATGTTCTAATTAATATAGATAATAATTTGACTGCCACCAATAGTAGAATATAAGGATAGTATATTACAAAGAAAATGTTATTAACAACTAACATTAACTAGAAAAATGATTAAAGAATCATTTCAAAAAAGGTTGAGAAGGCTATCAGTAAAATTTAATATCTATTCCTGATTAAAATATTGGAGGAAAAAGCAGATCAGGAAATGTAACCATGTTCAGAGAAGGGATGCAGAAAGTCGAGAAAATTAATAAGAACAGCAACTATAACACAAGTAACGGCAACAGGACATTTGAAATTCTGAATAAGGAGTTTGTATTTAAAAGGTCTAAATAAATAAATACCTTCGCCGAGTGTCTTTAATCTCAGCACTTTGGGAGACTGAAGCTAGAGGATTGCCTGAGCCCAGGAGATCGAGACCAGGCTGGGCAACATGGTGAGACCTCATCTCTACAATCAATCAAACAATTAGCTGAGCATGGTGGTGCCTGCCTGTAGTCCAAGAAAGTCAACTATAACAAAGAAACAGTAGCAACAACAAAAAATCTTACAAGCAGCTGTGGCTCATGCCTGTAATCCCAGCACTTTGGGAGGCCGAGGCAGATGGATTGCTTGAGCCTAGGAGTTCGAGACCAGCCTGGGCAACATAGCAATACCATGTCTCTATTTAAACAAACAAAAACAGCAAATATATTCATATATATATATATATATATATATATATATATATATATTCATATATATATATTCATTTAGGAATATATATATATTTAGGACTACATATGTATATGTAATATATGTATGTATTTTTTGAGTCAAGGTCTCACTCTGTCACCCAGGCTAGAATACAGTGGCTTGATCACAATGATCACAACTCACAGCAACCTGGACCTCCTGGACTCAGGTGATCCCTCCACCTCAGCATTCCAAGTAGCTGGGACTATAGGCATGCAGCACCATGCTGGCTATTTTTCCTTTTTTTTTTGTAGAGACAAGGTCTCGTTATGTTGCCTAGGCTGATCTTGAACTCCTGGGCTTAAGCAATCCTCCTGCATCGGCCTCCCAAAGTACTGGGATAACAAGCATGAGCCATGGTGCCTGGCCTAAATATTAAGGAGATAGAAAATACAGCACAAAGAGCCTCTATTTACAACAGAATCAAAACAAATTACACTCAAGGTCTAGAGTGTGCCACATATAGTATTTATTAAGGCAAATTTTAAAGCACATTGAAAGAAATAAAGAAAAACATGAATACATGGAAAGCTAAACTTTTATCTTTTTTTGAGTCAGAGTCTCACTCTGTCGCCCAGGCTAGAGTGCAGTAGCAAGATCACAGTCACTGCAACCTGGACCTGCTGGGCTCAGGCGATCCTTCCACCTCAGCCTTTCAAGTAGCTGGGACTTCAGGCCTGCACCACCACACCCAGTTAATTTTTTGAATTATTGTAGAGACAAGGTCTCGCCATGTTATCCAGGCTGGTTTCAAACTCCTGGGCTCAGGCAGTCCTCTCGCCTCAGCCTCCCAAGTGCTGGGATTACAGACATGAACCACCTTGCCCAGCTGGAAAGCTAAACTTCATTGCCATTTGGGAAAACAGAATGTAGTGAAGATAAAAACAAGCTATTATAAAAGAGTCAATTCAATATCAGTTTAAATCCTCCCTATATTTTTATAAAACATGACATGTTGGTTGTGACATTCAGCTGTAAGAATAATCAGGCAAGAATCTCAGCAATTTTTATAATCATGAAGCAAATGAATAGATAATTGATAATCGGAGCAAAGTGATGATTGTCAAAACTGTATAACATTGAACTAAAACCCAAAATTTCATTACATTCAACATCTCTTCAGTAACTAATTGTGGACCAGCTGCTCTACACCACCACTCCTCTAGGGACTGGGTTTACAGCCAAGAGTGAGCCAGGGAAAGTCCCTAGAGTGGTGGAGACCCAGGCAACAAGTCAACAAGACAACAAATCAACCAGACAAGTCAACAGATAAATAGGCAGGATGACTGCAGAGAGTGAAATATGAAGACCTCACCCCCACCTCTGGGATTGACTCTCACCTCCACCTCGGCTCAGGGGTTCGAGACCAGCCAGGGCAATTTGGTGAAACCTAGTCTCTACAATAAGTTGAAAAAATTAGCTGGATGTGGCAGCGCACACCTGTGGTTCCAGTTACTTGGAAGACTGAGTGGAAGGATCACCTGAGTCCAGCAGGTTGAGGCTGCAGTGGCCGTGAGTGTGCCATTGCACTCCAGCCTGGGTGACAGAGACTCCGACTCAAAAAAAAAAAGTGAAGACCACAGGTGATGGACAGAGGGGTGGGGTGGAAGGAGCTGCTTTGGATCTGGCAATTAGAGAAGGCCTCTCTGAAGAGGTGGACTTCTGAACTGAGATTTGTAGATCAGAATGGAGTTTCCAAAAATCATTTCCATTGATTATATCTCCATAAAGTTGTTTTTGGGGACCTCCTATGTGCCAGGCTGGGCTCAGTTTTGTCACATAGATGATGCATGGGTAAACTTAAGAATTTTCACTTTCATTCCAAGTTTTTTCTTTAAAATTTTATGATCTTTTATGATCTAAACACAAAGACCGGGCTCCGATGAATCAACATAAGAAAGAAAACAATGGAAAACTGGGCAAATGATAAGATTGACAATTCACAAAAAGAAAAACAAAGTCCAGAAAGTCAATAAACGTAAAAGAAAATGCTCACATAGACAACAAAAAATGTAAATGTAAAACTACGAGATATCAAAGTTCACTGATTATAACGGCAAAAATCAAGGTCATCCAGTCTGATTAAGGGTTTGAAGAGTGGACTTCTTGCACTTTGCTGTTGGGATATAGACAGAGGAAGCCTTTTAAAAAGCAATTGGCAGAATCTTAAGATTTTAAATGAGTGTACCCTATGAGTCAGCAACAGAAATTGATTCTACAGAAATAGACGCTCAAGGACCTAAAGATATCTACACACAAGGATGACACCACAGCAATGTTATTAATGGCTAAAATATAAATATCCTATAAATTCATCAGCCAGGGGAATGATTGAGTAGAGCATGGTCAATACAGCATGTAGAATGCCTTGCAGCACTGACAAAAATGGGCTTCATGTGCACGTCCATTTGATAAATGAGAGTTGAATGATTGTATAAAAATTTTAAAATCTCTCCTGTTAGACATCTATTTGTATAAGCATAGAAAAAACACTGGGAGGACACATTGCATGTTGTCAACAGGAGTAACTTAAGCAGGGAGAGATTCAGTTTAGAGGGAAGAGAGTGAGACTTCCAGTTTTTATCTTATACATTTTCAATAGAGAAGAAAAATCCTATCTACTGAGAAAATAGACCATCATTTATCCTAGCTGGGAAGGAAACATTTCCATTTCTGAATATTGAAGAAGGATTGCATCAGCACCAAGGTGGATGTTTTCAGATATAGCCATATTTTAAAAAAGCATTCCCAACAAAATGCAATTTTAAAAAACATCAAACAACTGAAAGGGGAACTGTATATGACATGCATAATTGAAAAAATATATAAATGATTGATAGAAATATATAGATGCGTCAGATCCTTTTGGGAAGGAGGTAGAGTATAATTTACACATAAAATATCTCCAGTTAATACTGCCATAGCACCTGCAGAAGTACCAGAGAAGGTAAATAGGAGAGATAAATACGTCATTTTAAAATGAGGAAATACAGTGCTGTCACGTGGAAAAGCATATTTTTATTCTCACTGAGAAAAGCCCCACAAATAAAACTCCACATACTGAATTCAAGCTATTTATTGAGCACATACTAATGTCAGACACTGTTTTACACAGAGCAGCACCTTGCTTTAAAGTAGATGGTATCCCCCTTTACAGATAAGAGAGGCACAGAAAGGTTCGATCACTTGCTCCAAGTCGCACAGCTGGCAAGCTGAGGAACCAGGATTCACACTCAGGTCTGATTCCAAAGCCCCAAGAACTGATCTGTTCTGCTAGGTGATCTCCTAAAATCAAAAGATCAAAGGCAATACTGGTGGAGAAAGGTGCCTCACTGAAAAGCAGGCTCGCGTCCAGAGTTGCTGCTTCATTTTGGGGGTCAGCTCTCTCTAAGGCTCCAAGGTCTTTTGGACCACATGAGGGCTCTGTTCCAGTTTTGTCTTGAGACTGAAATCCTCTCTGTGGCAGTGCCGGATCCAGTCATCCTCAAATCCCAGAGACGAAGACTTCGGGATTCTCGGTTAGAACATCCATGAAGCCTTTGTGATGCCAGACCTGGTTGCCATAGCAATCACAAGGCCGGGAGCTGGGGGCTCCGGAGCCCCTGAAGCTCACTCAGCCTCCTCACTCTCCACTGCCCCCTGCCGAGAGCCCTGTGGCACCTCCATCACCTAGACGCCCTTCCCACCTGACTCCTCTTCCTGCTCCCCCTCTCCCCGCACTCTCCTCTCCTTCCCCCCTTGCTCTGGCCTCCTTCCCACCTTCCCCACTACCCTCCCTCTCTTGGCTTTCTTCCTCCCAGTCAGGCTACATACAGGGATAAGGATGGAGTTTGGGGCGAAAAAAGAGACAGTGGCTCCCCTTGAGCAGCTTCCAAGACCAGAACCTAAAAGAAGGCCTAAATCCAGTAAGCTAAGAAAGGCCAAGTGGAAACAGAAGGACTTGGAGGAGCTGAAGAAGGAGGTGGTCATGGTGAGAACACCCACACAGGGCGCTGACTAGTTGCCCTCCTGAAACACCCTCACCTCAGCCGAACCCTGAGGATTAACCACACAGGCCAGAGCATGTCTCCTCTCTGTAGGTCTCTCTCCCTGCTCCCTCACCACCGCTCCCTCCATAACTCTGCTATTCCCTCAGGATGATCACAAATTAACCTTGGAGGAGCTGAGTGCCAAGTATGCCGTGGACCTGACAAAGGTGAGTGAGGAGCCCCCTGAGGGAGGTGGAGGGTCTCGGACTCTGACCATGAGGCCACCAGGACGAAAGTGGAGCTGGCAGTCCAGCCCCCAACTTCAAATCCACAGGCCTCGCTTCTCACCCTTCGCCTGACCCAGGTCCACAGGACACTACCTGGAAAAAGATGAATATGGAACTGCCCCAGAGTGTATAGTACTCAACAAGAGAATAGAATGGTTTAGGGCAGTACTTCTCACACTTTTTGTCCTTAGGACCCCTTTACACTCGTAATTTATTAAAGACCCCAAAGAGTTTTTGCTTATGTGGGTTGCATCTACCATATTAGAAATTAAAATTAAGCTGGGCATGGTCCCTCATGCGGGTAATACCAGCACTTGGGAGAGGCTGAGATAGGAGGCTTGCTTGAGGCCAGGAGTTCAAGACCAGCCTGGGTGATATAGTGAGACCCTGTCTCTACAAATTTTTTTTTATGTAGCCATGTATGGTAACGCATACCTGTAGTCCCAGCTACTTGGGAGGCTGAGCAGGAGGATCATTTGAGCCCAGGAGTACAGGGCTGCAGTGAGCTATGATTGTGCCACTGCACTCCAGCCTGGGCAACAGAGTAAGATCCTGGCTCCAAAATAAAAAATAAAAAAATAAAGAAATTAAAATATTTCCCAATTTGTTAAAAAGTTACAAAAACAAACCCATTATGTATAATATACATAGTATTTTTGCCAAATAACTATATTTTTCAGAACAAAAAAAATGAATGACTTCTTACATTTTTGCAAGCCTCTTTAATATCTTGCTATTTAATAGTCACTAACTGGATTCTCATGTAGTTCTATATTAACTCTGCTGGGATGTCATGTAACCCTTAGAAAATTTCACCGGAGACTCTTTCTTTTTTTTTTTTTTTGAATAAGAGTCTCACTCTGTCACCCAGGCTGGAAGGCAGTGGCACGCTTCTGGCCACCGCAGCCTCCACCTGCTGGGCTCAGGCGATCCTTCCACCTAAGCCTTCCAAGTAGCTGGAGCTACAGGCATGCACCACCACACCCGGCTAATTTTTGGTTTTTTTCAGACTGTAGAGATGAGGTCTCACCAAGTTGCCCAGGCGGGTCTCGAACCTGTAGGCTCAGGCAACCCTCTCACCTTGGCCCCCCAAAGTGCTGGGATTACAGGCTTGAATGACAATTTAGTATTGTAATGAAAATTGACCTTGTGGACCTTCTGAAAGGGGCTTGGGACCACTGGGTGTTTCGGGGTAAAGGGAAGGCTGGTGGGGACTGGCAGGTTCTACTATCATTTTCATTTACAGGGAAAAGCACATAAACTTGTGCACAAGACTGAAATGAGAATCCGTACACTTCTGTCTTTAGCCGTTTCTTTTTTCTATTTCTTTTTTTTTTTTAATTGTATGACTACACAATTGTACGTAGTTATGGAATGCATGTGAGGTTTTGGAACAAGAAAACAACGTGTAAGAATCAAAATGGGTAATTGGGATAACTATCACCTAACATTTATCATTGGTTTTGTGTTGGAAATGTCCCAAATCCACTCTAGTTATTTTGAAATATGCAATAAATTATAGCTAACTGTGGTCACTCTATTGTGCTACCAAGCACTGGATTTTATTCCTTCTGTTTCTACATTGGAGTCAAACGTGGTGTTAATGTGTTATCAACATTAAGTATTATATCTCATCCCCACGTTGGGCTTGCACATTGTATTGTAACTATCTGCACATACTCATCTCCCCACGAGTGCCTTACATGTAGGAAGCATTCTTGGTATCCTCAGCATCCACCCCCAACCCATCCCAAAACAGGTGCTCAAGTTCAAAAAGATATGTGAACTAATCCACAAACAGAAAACGTTTCCTGTGCAAGCATCCATTCTATAATGCACATTTTATTTATTTATTTTTTTATTTTATTTATTTATTTATTTTTTTTTGAGTTGGAGTCCCACTCTGTCGCCCAGACTGGAGTGCAGTGGCCACTCCCGGCCAACGCAGCCTCGACCTGCTGAGCTCCGGCGATCCTTTCACCTCAGCCTTCCAAGTAGCCGGAATTACATGCATGCGCTACCATGCCCGGTTGATTTTTTGATTTATTGTAGAGATGAGGTCTTGCTGCCGAGGCAGGTCTCGAACCCGCCAGCTCAGGCAGTCCACTCACCTCAGCCTCCCAAAGGTGTGGGATTACAGGCTGAGCCACCGAGCCCAGCTATTTATTTATTTTTCATTTTTATTTTTTGGAGTTGGAGTCTCACTCTTTTGTCCAGGCTGAAGTGCAGTGGCACGCATGCTCATGGCCACCTCAGTGTTGACCTTCTGGTTTCCCGCGATACTTCTGCCTCAGTCTTCTGAGTAACCGGAACTACAGGCACATGCTACCATGCCCGGCTATTTTTTTATTTATTGTAGAGATGAGGTCTCGCCAAGTTGCCTGGACTGGTCTCGAACCCGCGTACTCAGGCAATCCACTCGCCTCGGCCTCCCAAGGTTCTGGGATTATAGGCTGAGCCACCAAGCCTGGCCTATAACACACATCTTAAAATCCCACTTTATTTAGGAAGAACTTCCAGACTGACCCTAAGAGAGCTCCTGCAGTGTCTCAATCCACCCCTCATGAGGCCATAATGGCCGCTTCCCCTTGACTCTTGCTGCTTCTCTTTCTACAGCTTCCCTCGATCCCTATCTCTTCTTCACACAGGGCCACAGTCCCCGAAAGGCAGAGGAACTCCTGATTCGAGATGGACCCAACATTCTAACTCCACCCCCCACCACTCCAAAATGGGTCAAATTCTGTAAACAACTTTTCGGGGGCTTCTCCCTCCTGCTGTGGACAGGCGCCATCCTCTGCTTCGTGGCCTTTGGCATCCAGTCGTATTTCTATGATGACTTTACCAAAGACAACGTGAGTTTGTTCAACTAATACTGGCCGGCCCAGTGTCTGTGCAGCCCTGAGACTCTTCTGCCCAGCAGCCTCCACTCCTGAAGCCCTCAGGCCCACATCCTAACCCCAGGCACTTTCTGAGGGAGCAGCTGGTCCATCCTGATTCCCTTCACCTTTGATCTAGAAAGCTACTGGTTCAGCTCCCTGAGATGCGTGATTTCCCCCTTTGATGATCTTCCCAACTATCAAAGCCCTTTGCTGTCCCTTCTCTTCCCCACAATTTTAATTTCATCCCACTCCTTCCAGTCTCTCTCACTATCTGCCCCTCACCCCCTGAAGAGCCTTCCTGGAGAAAAAGAGCCAGGCATTCTCTGCCCTGAGACCTTGTTGACCACTCACCATATAGCCCAGGGTTCCTTTACCAGGGAACCCAGTGTTCTGGCCCTCCCTCAGATTCTTCTCAGCCCCTCTGCCTTCCAACTCAGTCCCGTGGTTTCTTGTGCCTGGAGAAACCATGGTCACCCTGGCAAGCTGAACTTTTGAGGATGGAGAGGAGGAAAAGGACCCACTGGTGAACACCTTCTCTCCCCATCCCCAGCTGTACCTCGGCTTTGTGCTCTCCATCGTGGTCGTCATCACCGGCTGCTTCTCCTACTATCAGGAGGCCAAGAGTGCCAAGATCATGGAATCATTTAAGAACATGGTGCCACAGGTGTGACTGTAGTGGGAGGATCTAGTGAGAGGAGGGGTGGAATGTGGCCAAACACAGTTACAGTGTTCCCTGGAGAATTCTATTCTTTTTTTTTTTTAATCTATTTATTTTTTATTATGATGTTGTGGGGTACAGTTAAGGGTTAGGTATACAATTACGTTTCATTCAGGCACCCTGTTGATATGAAGTGTTTCCCAGACAGATATTTGCTACTGTTAATCCCATCTCCCCCCCCCATGGTTTCCCAGTACTGTCAGTCATTTTCTTATAGTATTGCATTGGATGTTTAAGGTCCATTATATGAGTGAGAACATGTGATACTCGGATCTTTGTTTCTGTGAGAGGTCACTCAGTATTATAGACTCTAGTTCCATCCAGGTTGCTGCAAAATTCATGATTTTGTTCCGTGCTGAAAAGAAAAAAACAACAACCCCATTATAAAATGGGTAAAAGATATGAACAGACACTTCACAAAGGAAGACATCCAAGCAGCCAACAAACACATGAAGAAATGTTCAACCTCACTAATCATCAGGGAGATGCAAATCAAAACCACACTGAGATGCCACCTAACTCCAGTCAGAATGGCAATTATCAACAAGTCAAAAAATAACAGCTGCTGGAGAGGGTGTGGTGAAAAGGGAACACTTCTACACTGTTGGTGGGAGTGTAAACTAGTGCAACCTCTGTGGAAAGCAGTGTGGCGATTCCTAAAAGCTCTAAATACCAATCTCCCAGATGACTCCACAATCCCCCTACTGGGAATATATCCTGAAGAACTCAAATCACTCTATAAAAAAGATACCTGCACACGTATGTTTATCGCAGCATTGTTCACAATTGCAAGAACCTGGAAACAACCATGCTGCCCGTCAAAAGAGGACTGGATTAAAAAAATGTGGTACATATACACGATGGAATACTACGCAGCCATAAAAATAGAATTCTATTCTATGGTGAGTGAGCTGGGTGAGGCTGGTGATGAGGGGTCCGGTTGCTCTATCAGGCCTTAAAAGTATCTGCAAAAGACAAACATCACTGTGACAGAGTCTGTTCCTGAAGGCAGAGTCTGAATTCAATAAGGAAACACCATACAAACCCCAAAAGAGAACATTCTATTAAAAAAATAAGAGCCAGGCTCGGTGGCTCAGCCTGTAATCCCGCGCCTTTGGGAGGCTGAGGTGAGTGGATTGCCTGAGCCTGCGGGTTCGAGACCCGCCTGGGCAGGCGAGACCTCATCTCTACAATAAATCAAGAAATTAGCCGGGCGTGGTAGCGCGCGCCTGTAGTTCCAGCTACTTGGAAGGATCGCCGGAGCCCAGCAGGTCGAGGCTCCAGTGGCCGGGAGCAGTCACTTCACTCCAGTCTGGGTGACAGAGTGAGACTCCAACTCAAAAAAAATAAAAATAAGAAAAGCAAGTTTGGGTGTTGGTGAAGGGAGAGCTGTATTCTCCAAATGTCAGTGACCTTAAAGAACACCTGTGAGCCGGGCTCGGTGGCTCAGCCTGTAATCCCGCACCTTTGGGAGGCCGAGGGGAGTGGATTGCTTGAGCCCGCGGGTTCAATATCTGCCCGAGTAACTTGGCGAAACCTGTTCTCTACAATAAATCAAAAAATTAGCCAGGCATGGTAGCACACACCTGTAGTTCCAGCTACTCAGAAGGCTAAGGCGGGAGGATCGCCAGAGCCCAGTAGGTTGAGGCTGCAGTGGCCAGGAGCATGCCACTGCACTCCAGTCTGGGCCACGGAGTGAGACTCCAACCCAAAAAAAAAAAAGAAGAAGAACACCTGTGAAAATGCTCTAGGTTAAAGGAGGCCAAAGAGATATGACAGCTAAACACAATACCTGCCCTTAGACCTGATTCTGTGGCAAAGGAGAAGAAATGCAGTTTAAAGGATATATTGGAAGAAACAGACTCCACCATTCTTCCTTCCATTTCCCCTGCTGTGCTGGTTGTTTTGTGTTGGCTGTGTGACTTCTAATTTCCATGTACAGTATGCTCAGCATTAGATAACTCCTCATTGTAAACAAACTGTGTCACTGTCCAGAACACCACTTATAAATCAGCCTAGCATTTATAAGGGGGAAAAAAAGGATATATTGGGGCCGAGTGCGATGGCATATACCTGTAATCCTAGTACTTTGGGAGGCCAAGGTAGGAGGATCACTTGGGGCCAGGAGTTTGAGACCAACCTGGGCAATCTTGCCAGACTCCATCTCTGCCAAAAATAAATAAAAATAAAAAGTCAGGCTTAGTGGCACATGCCTGTGATCCTAGATACTCGAGAGGCTGTGCCTAGGAGTTTGAGGATACAATGAACTAGGATCACACCACTGGACTCCAACCTGGGCAACAGAGCAAGAACCTGTCTGTCTCTGACTCTAAAAAAAAAAAGCCGAGCTCGGTGGCTTAGCCTGTAATCCCGCGCCTTTGGGAGGCTGAGGTGAGTGCATTGCCTGAGCCCGCGGGTTCAAGACCCGCCTGGGCAGGCAAGATCTCATCTGTACAATAAATAAAAATTTTAAAAAATTAACCGAGTGTGGTAGTGTATGTCTGTAATTCCGGCTACTCGGAAGGCTGAGGCGGAAGGATCGCCAGAGTCCAGCAGGTCAAGGCTGCGGTGGCCGGGAGCGGCCAATGCACTCCAGTCTGGGAGACAGAGTGAGACTCCAACTCAAAAAAAAAAAAAAAAGATATATTAGGTCAATTGACAGAACTGGAATCCAGACAGTAGGTGAAAGTATTGTATCAATGTGAGACTTCCTGAAATTGATAACTGCATTGTGGTTATTTAAGAGAATATTTTATTGAGTGTGGTGGCTCATGCCTGTAATCCCAGCACTTCAGGAGGCCAAGGCAGGAGGACTGCTTGAGCTCAAGAGTTCGAGACCAGTCTGGGCAACATAGTGAGACCTCATCTCTACAAAAAAATTTAAAATAAGCCGGGTGTTGAGGCATGCATCTATAGTCCTAGCTACTTGGGAGGCTGAGGAAGGAGGATTGCTTGGGCCCAGGAGTTGGAGGCCATAGTGGGCTGAGATAGTGCCTCTGCACTCTGGGCTACGGAGTAAGATGCCAACTAAAAAAGAAAAAAGAAAACATTTTAATTATTGAGAAATGCAAGCTGAAATATTTAGGATAAAAGATCATGATGTATGCAATTTACCCTCAAATAGTTCAGGAAGAAAGTATACACACAAAGACAGAGAAAAAAGACAAAGCAAACAAGGTGAAATGTATTAACAGGTGAATCCAGGTAAAAGTTATGTAGATGTTCTTGGTACTGCTTTTCTGAACGTTGCTTTTGCAGCTTTTCCAAACGTTTAAAATTGTGTTCGAATTAAAAGTTTTGTTTTTGTTTTTGTTTTTTTGAGTGGAGTCTCACTCTGTCGCCCAGACTAGAGTGCAGTGGCTGCTCCCAGCAGCCTCAGCCTCAACCTGCTGGGCTCTGGCGATCCTTCTGCCTCAGCCTTCCAAGTAGTTGGAACTACAGGCGTGTGCTACCACGCTCGGCTAATTTTTTGATTTATTGTAGAGATGAGGTCTCGCCAAGTTGCCCAGGTGGATCTCGAACCCGCAGGCTCAGGCAATCCACTCACCTCAGCCTCCCAAAGCGTGGGATTACAGGCTGAGCCACCAAGCCCGGCTGAATTAAAAGTTGTTTAAAGGTACCTGGAAGTAATATAGCTGTGAGCAGGGGTCCCTAGGCGCAGGGCTGGACACTCAGAAGGGAACAGGCTCCCGAGTTCCCACATTATGACCATGTCCCACGCTGTAGCCCAGGATTTTCCTCTCTCCTTGGTATCAGCATAGCCTAATTCCTTCCTTGGGTAAGAGTTTTGGGGCAAAGTGTTTTGGTAGTTCAGGAGACCAGAAGTTGATGAGTTAGCTGTCTGACAAACCACCGCAAAACTTAGTGGCGTGAAATAGCGAACATCCTATAAATGGTTCTCATAATTCTGCAGCTGGGTTGTTGTTCTGGAGTAAGCTAATCTCAGCGGATGCTGGACAGTCTAAGATGACCTCACTCTCAGCCCAGGGTCTCAGCTGAGATGACCAGGACTCAGGGCCCTTCTGATCTCTCTTCTTCTAGGAGGCTCGCTCAGGCTTGCTCATGTGTGGCACAGGTCTTCCCAGCAGCGACGGGGCATGCCTCAATACGAAAACACTTTTTAAGCTCCTCTTTGTGTCCCATGTGCCCCCAGTGTTCTATGGGGAAAAGCAAACCACACGGCCAAGCCCAGGTTTGGGAGTAGGGAGATAGATACCTCCTCTTCATGGGAAGAGCATCAAGGACACATTGCAAAAGGCCCTGCAGACAGGGAGGTGGGTATTTGCAATCTACCAAAGACACGATCAAGAATTATGTAATGGATAGTAAGAAAGGGCAGGAAGAAGGAAGGAAGGAGACTGGGAACAGGATGAGGTAGGCTAGGAATGCAGTGAGGGATGCAGAAAGTTTTGGAAATGACCCTGCACCATCTTCCCACAGCAAGCGCTGGTCATCCGAAGTGGAGAGAGGATACAGATTAACGTGCAAAATGTGGTGCTGGGAGACCTGGTGGAAGTGAGGGGAGGGGATCGAATCCCCGCTGACCTCCGGATCATCTCTGCACAAGGATGTAAGGTGAGGGGACGTGGAAGGCTCTGGGCGGGCGCCAGCGTGGTCTCAGGGCACAGCCAGGATCTAGTTAGAGAAAGCAAAAACTTATTCTTCAGGACATTGGGAAGTTGATATGTACAAATCTGATGTTAAAGACAGGGTGCTGTTGTGTCGACTTGTTACTCTCTGTAGATCAGTGATGATGGTGGTGGTGACAGACAGACATGCTGTCTTTGTAAACGAATCTGGCTTTCTTCCTGTGCTCACCTTCTGACCCAGCTTTTCTCTCACCCCAGGTGGACAACTCGTCCTTGACTGGGGAGTCAGAGCCCCAATTTCGCTCTCCTGATTTCTCCCACGAGAACCCACTGGAGTCTCGGAACATTTGCTTCTTCTCCACCAACTGTGTGGAAGGTAAATGCCAAACCATAAGTAGCATAGATGCTAAAGCCAGGACCAAAACGTAAAGATGTCAGCAACTATCTTTCCAAAGCAGTGAGATGGGTAAGAACTGGTAAACAGTGTAGGTTCTCCATCACTTATGAGCTGTATGACCTTTGGTAAAAGGTCAACACCACCATTGCTACATTTGCACAGTGATCATACTAAAAGTCGTTACCCCACAGATTTTTGTGTGGATTGAGATAATGCCTATGCAAGTCCCACCACAAGGTCTGATACACTGTGAGTGACCTGTAATTGTTAGTATTATCCTAGACTGTGAGTGGACTATGCTCCACAAGCCACATGTGGCACAGGAGGGAGGATATTATTCAGCCCTACTGGGTCATTCTTCTCTTAAGGTAAGCCCTGTCTTCCAACTATTTCCCTCTGCAAGAAAAGATGTTGGCATGGGAAACCTGAGTCACCAGAGGTGTCACCTGGACTCTGCCTCTCCATTTTGGCTTTGCTCCTAGAATCTAGGACATTCTTGAACCAGGAGGCAGTGCTAGCCAAGGTTAACAAGGGACTAAACATTACGAAGTCAAGCTCTCCATTTCCCTTTCCCCTAAAGGAGGCCTGAAGACTCCCCTGGAGCACACTTGAAAACCATTATTCACATGTTAGAATAAATGTTTGGGTGTCTACAAAATAACTGTTTTTTAATTGAATGCATAGCATGTATTGAGTGTCATAGGTATTATCTCCAATTCTCACAATGCTATGGAGCAGATGCTTTTCCTGTCTTACACAAAAAAGACTAAAGGTCAAAGAAATTTGGTGCCAAAGTCAAGATTACAAATCAACAAAGAGGAGGAGGGTCAGGAATTCTAATGTAGGTAGGTCTTCTCCAAAGCCTGTGCTCTTTTCACAAACCCTGCTCTGCATTAAAAGATAGCAAATAACCTCTCTGGTAATCAAAGTATTTACTTTGAATGCATTTATTTATTTATTTTAGAGACAGGGTCTCACTATGTTGCCCAGATTGGTCTCGAACTCCTGGGCTCAAGCAATCCTCCTACCTCGGCCTCCCAAAGTGCTGGGATTACAGGCATGAGCCACTGCACCCAGCCATTAATTTAAAAATACCATAAAGAGTAAGAGTTACGTTAAGACTGAATAGAGGCTGGGTTCAGTTGGCTCAGCCTATAATCCCAGCACTTTGGGAGACCGAGGTGAGCGGATTGCCTAAGCCCATGGGTTCGAAAACAGTCTGGGCAACTTGGCGAGACCTCATCTCTACAATTTTTTAAAAAAATTAGCCAGATATGGTAATACACACCTATAGTTCTGGCTACTTGGAAGGCTGAGGCGGAAGGATCGCCCAAGCCCAGGAGGTCGATGCCGGGGTGGCTGTGAACATGCCACACTGCACCCCAGCCTAGGCGACAGAGTGAGACTCTAACTCAGAAAAAAAAAAAAAAAGACTATGAGAAAGAACCCAATTAGGCAATAAATATATATATTAAAATTAAAATTATTTTAAATTGATTGGACAGAAAGATGTAAGTTAGCAAGCATTCTCCAAAGACACCAAATAACTACTACTGGATTTTAGGAAGAAGTTTGCCCAGATTTGTTCTTCCAAAATAAGATTTTCATCAGCTGAGTATATACTTCAAATAAGAGAACTGGTGGTGGTAGCCTTACATCTAGGAAACAAGGATTTGTCTAGGTGGAGAGTGGTTTTACAGGAGACCCACAAAACCAGGATGTGGCCAAGAGGGTGGGGCCAGATCAAAGGAGCTCTTGATTGCCAAATTGAGGGGTTTCTCTGCCATTTGCAGTGGAGTAACATTTACCCTAGACCAATTTGCAAACAAGTAGCATAACTTTAAACTTGACCCTTACCTCCTAGCTCTCCTCACTGTGGACGTTGACAGGACTATGATACAAACGTCTCTTTGGGATCTTGTACATCTTCAAGGGAGCCTACACTATTTCTCTGGCAATATATGGAAGGTATAAGAAGGAGCCAGTCTGGGGTACGGGGTGCTTGGCCTCCTCAATCTCCCCCAGGGTGGATGTCAACCCACCCTGTCTCTAGATACACTGGGATCAGTTACTAAATCCCATTTCTCTAAGCACGAGGAAACCATAGCAGAAGGAATAAAACTGAAGAATTATCAGGTTCACACCTGTAATCCCAGCACTTTGAGAGGCAGAGGTGAGAGGATTGTCAATGGTTTCCTCGTGCTTAGAGAGATGAGGAAAACCTCAAGGAAGGCTGAGGGGGAAGGATCACCGGAGCTCAGCAGGTTGAATCTGCGGCAGCCATGACCATATCACAGCACTTTAGCCTAGGCTACAGAGTGAGAACCCACCTCAAAAAAAAAAAAAAAAAAAAAATAGCCTGGGCATGGTGGCACATGCCTGTAGTCCCAGCTACTTGGGAGGCTGAAGCGGAAGGATCACCTGAGCCCAGCAGGTTGAGGCTGCAGTAGCCGTGATCGTGTCACTGTACTCCAGCCTGGGTGACAGAGACTCTGGATCCAAAAAAAAAGAAGAGCTAAACTAAACGGTGACACAAGGCAGATGGAGCTGACACAATAATCTACCCACCACCCCTCAGCCCACCAGACACATAAAGCTCCTCAGTACCTCTCAAGTGTTTAGTATCTTCATTCCACAAGACTCAGTGAATGCCTGTGGCAACCAGATTGAAGGGCATGTGTGTCTCACACTGTGAACCTTTCCAGAATTCCTTCTCCTCCTAAACACTGACCTGACCAGCCTGCTCTATGCATGGGACCCTGCTTCCAGGCTTACACAGGTGAGAATGACCTTGGAGATGGGAACCACAGGCTGCTCTATGCATAATGTGCGTGGGAGCCACTAGGTCAGCACTATCCCTACCCAGTCATGTGTATGATTTTATGCTTTTGTTTTGTTTTTGAGTTAGGGGCTCACTCTGACACCCAGGCTGGAGTGCAGTAGCACGATCCTGGCTCATCGCAGCCTCTGCCTCCTGGGCTCAAGGATCCTTCTGCCTCAGCCTCCCCAGCCTCCCCAGCAGCTGGGACTACAGGTACATGCCACCACACCCGGTTAATTTTTTTTTTTTTAGGAGACGAGATCTAACTGTGTCGCCCAGGCTGTTCTCAAACTCCTGGCTCAAGCAGTTCTCCCACCTGAGCCTTCCTAAGTGCTGGGATTACAGGCATGAGCCAATGTGCCCGACCACATGTACGCTTTTATATTGCCCAAAATTCACTAAGTCATGAAAAGAAAGAAACTGAAGGCCGACTTGAGGGACTTCTATGTGTCTAGCCTTCTTCTAGGTTCTTTTGAAAAACATTTAATTCTCATAGTTTAGTAAGTACTTTCACCCATTTTAAAGATGAGGAAGCCTGAGTCTCAGAGAGTTTAAATAATTCACTCTAGAAGAAAGAGCTAGTAATTAGGAAAGATGAGTGGAGTAGGATGTCTCAACCGTGACCTTTGGGCTGGGTCATTCTCTGGTGTGGGGGAAAGGAAGGCCTGTCCTGCGTACTGCAGGGTGTTCAGCAGCATCCGTGGTCTCTGCCCCCTTGAAGCCAGGTCCAGCCCTCTCCCACTCCGGGTGTGACAACCACAAATGTCTCCAATCCTGAGTCCTTCTGCTTCCGAAATAAGTGTTTTTCTGGGTGATTCTGACTCCGACTTTAATGGTAGAAATTTCAGTCATCATGGTAGAGCTAGAAGAATTATTTAAGCCAAGAATCTTGTCATTCCCCTCATGTCCAGCACTGTAGGTGGGAGGCCTGCATGGTGTGTGTGCATGGTGTGTGTGTGTGTGTGTGTGTGTGTGTGTGTGTGTGTGTGTGTGTGTGTGTGAAGCCAAACAGATGTCCAGATTGGCCCCCTGACTGACTGGGGCGGTGCTGGTGGAGAGAAAGGAGGAGCCTGAGAGCCCAAGCCCAAGCCCAACTGTCATGGCCTGTGCTACCCAGCAGAGGTCAGGCTGGCTCTGTAGGCAGAGCAGGGAGGGGCTCAGGTCAGAGCAGGATGTCTCAACTGTGACCTTTGGGCTGGGTCATTCTCTGGTGTGAGGGGAGAGAAGGCCTGTCCTACGTACTGCAGAGTGTTTGGCAGCACCCCTGGCCTCTGCCAGGTGCTTGAAGCCAGGTGCAGCCCTCTCCCACTCCGGGTGTGACAACCAAAAATGTCTCCAAACACTGCCAAATGTCCCAGGGATGGGAGTTGGCCAGCTGAGGACCACTGGGTTAGGGGATAAGGAGATGTTGGAACACAGGGTTCTTCCAGAAGCGTCGCCACTGTGCCTGGGGAGTCGGGAACTATTCAGCTGCTGAGGACAGAGCAGGAAATATATCACAATAGAAGATCTTTAGTGGGGGGTGGGTGTGGCAGTTGAGGGAAACTGCTAGGAGAGGGAGGGTCATACCTCATCAACAAGGGTACCTGCATGATCAGTGTTTGTATACCTAACCCTGAATTGTACCCCGTATCTTTATAATAAAAAAATTAAAAATATTAATAAAAAGAAGAAATCTTTAAGTCCAGTGTAACAAAGACCTTCTGGGCCGTCAAGGCAAGTAGGCAATAAAGTTGGGTATCTCTGGAGAACGGTGAGCTTTTTCAGACTCAAAGAACCTAATCTGTATAAACTAAATATGAGGAGTAGGATGGAACAGTCCTTCAAAGGATCTGAGTCTTAACTCTGTGTTTGACCACCGAGAACTTTCCCTTTGTAGGAGCCAAACACAACAACCAAACACAACAGTTCAGACTGAGCATGCCTTGGGTGACCACTACTGATGGAAAAGAAAAAGGGTTTTTTTTTCTCTTTACACTCACACTGAGCATGGAACACCTCCGTGTCCAACATGTGTGAGGATGTCTCTGCACCGACAACCAGGTCTCCAGAGGACAACAACCAGGTGTCCTCTGATTCAATTTAATTCTGACTCTCTCTACTTGGAGACAGCATCCGGTCCCACATGTTGAGGGCTCCACCTCCCAAGGCTGTTCCCAACTTTAGATACCTATTGCAAGTCCCAAGCTGTGACCTGTGCTTCTGACAGACCAGTCATAAATTGTAGTTCCCATGACCACCTCCTCAGGTCTGAGTAAGCAAGACAGCTCACGGAAGCCAGGAAGACGCTACTTATGTATACCCATTTATTATAAGGGATATTACAGAAGATGCTGGTGAATAGCCACACCAAAGACATGCACAGAGCGAGGCATGGGGAGATGGGGTAGAGGAGTTTCCACGCTCTCTCCACTCTGGGCAACTACCCTCGGGCACCTCTGTGTGGTCACCCACCTGGGAGTTCTCTTACCCATCCTTCTGGGGTTTTTATGGAGGCTTCATTACACAGATATGACTGATTCCATAACATGGTTGGTTCCCCTGGCAATTGCACCCCCCCCACATACTTCTGTATATCCAGGAACCCTCCAAGAGTCCCCTCACTAGAACCAGGATCCTCCTGTCACCCAGGAAACGCCAAGGGATTTAAGAGTTCTAGGTCAGACACTCCTATCACTCAGGAAATTATGAAAGTCTTGGAAGCTGTGTCAAGAACTGAGTCAAAGACCAAATATTAGATAGGACAGAAGATTCTCCTGGCATCCTTGTCCTCAAGGGTTTTAGGAGCTGTCTGTCAGGAAGTGGGGGCAGAGACCAGTATGTATGCTGCTGCTTATCTCACAGTAGCACATGGTCTTCCACCTTTATCCACAGGAACAGCCCGGGGTGTTGTGATCGCTACAGGAGACTCCACGGTGATGGGCCGAATTGCCTCCCTGACATCAGGCCTGAAGGTCGGCCGGACCCCCATCGCTGTTGAAATTGAGCACTTCATCCATCTGATCACAATGGTGGCGGTCTTCCTTGGCATCATTTTTTTTGGGCTCTCATTTGCCTTGGGCTACGGCTGGCTGGAGGCTGTCATTTTTCTTATTGGCATCATTGTGGCCAATGTGCCTGAGGGTCTGTTGGCCACGGTCACTGTGAGTAAACAGGGTGGAAGGTGGCCTCAGGGCAGACAGATCATCCCATAGACATGAGCTCACTGGGTTCTCTTGTTGTTGAAGCTCTCAGGGAAGAATATTACTGATAGGCACAGAGGTGTCAGGAATAGCTTAGCTCCAACATTGCACTGACTTCCTGCCCATATTTTTTGGTGCCTTCTTTCTCCTCAGTGAGAGAGGAAACAAATTTAAATGCAGGATTGAAAAGCATTGGGTTTCAAGTCACCAGGAGTGAGTTCTAGTCCTGGATGTACTGGCTGGTGAACTTGGCTAAATCACTTAACATCCCCAGACCTCAATTTATCCATCAATTTATAGAAGAAGATTAATTTAGAATTATAAAATCTTACAGGAAAGGACTTCAAAGGTCATATAAATTCAACCAATGCTGAATGTCCTCTATAAAATCCATGGGAGGTGATTATTATTTCTAGTAATGGGAAGCCCACCTCTTTCTGTCCCAGTGCATTTCACTGTTCCGTTGTTCTGTTTAAATATCATTGTGCTGAACAGAAATATGATTCCCTGCTTGGTCCTAGTTTTCCCAGCCAAAGAAACACAAAACAATTTGATTCTCTGTCTTCCACAAATCAGCCCTTTAGATTTCTGATTATAGACACTGTGCCTCTCTCAAATTCCTCCCTCTCTCTGCCATTTTCCCTGTGAATGGTGGTCAGATCACCTGTCTTGCTGACTACCTGCTGTTTGGGATATGCTCCCGTTTATCAATATTCTTAAAATAGAAATGAGAATAATTCTCAGGGTATGTTTGGACCAGCATGAAAACACTGTGACTAGTGATATTATATAAATAAATTATAACCTTTAATCCTATGATTAGAATTCTGTATTACATAACCACAGCCTAAGAATTTATTAGCTTTTAAAAATAACCTTGCCATACACCCGACTTAGATTGAATTTGTGATCAACAAAAATCCTTTGGCTTAAATGATTTCTCGAGTCTGTTTCAATGCTGTGATATCATTGTTATCTCTTATCCATTCTATTTTATACCTATTGGTCCCACATTTCCTTCACATAACATCTGATACCACAGCAAAAGCTTAGCAATCTATGTGGTCCCTGGAAAGACTGGACTTAAGAGATGTGGCCTGAACTTGAAAAGCCCACTGAATAGAAAAGACAGAAGGCTCCCGGGGAAGAGGAAACTTCCAGGGGGAATGAGAAGGATCATTTTCTATGATATCTTGGTAAAGAAATACATTCTGTTTTGAAATGCTTGCCATACAGCACAAACCAAAATCACTGTCCTAATTTCTTTTGCCACAGCCACAGATGAAATTTCTAGAGTAGGCGGAAACAAGAGAGAAATAAGCACAAAAAACGAAAATAGCAATTGAAATGCTCAAACTTCCAATATGCCAAGGGGTGCGAGCAGTCTGCCTCTTGCTTCATTCTCGCCCTCGTCTTGCCTCAGGTGTGCCTGACCCTGACAGCCAAACGCATGGCGTGGAAGAACTGCCTGGTGAAGAACCTGGAGGCGGTGGAGACGCTGGGCTCCACATCTGCCATCTGCTCAGACAAGACGGGCACCCTCACCCAGAACCGCATGACCGTGGCCCACTTGTGGTTCGATAAGACCGTGCATGAGGTTGACACCAGTGAAGACCAGACTGGTGACTAGTGGTGTTGGTGGAACGGGAGAGGAAGGATTTAAGGGATGCGATGTGTGGACTGAGAGAGCCTGAGCACACAGTGGAGACGGGGTGGCATAGGGGAAGGAAGGCTGCCTCTGTGAAGCATCTGGTACCCAACAGAGTGTGAACAAGCCCTTGCTTTAAACTCTCCCATCCTCTGCTCACAACTCTTCCTTTCTCTCTTCCTAGGGAAAACATTTGCCAAGGACTCGGACACCTGGTTGATCCTGGCACACATTGCTGGCCTCTGCAACCGGGCTGACTTCAAAGCTCATCAGGAGACCCTGCCCATCGCCAAGGTGTCAGGCCTAGGGGGAAGAGGGTACCTCAGTGTCCAGGGCACCACTGTCCTCTTCCCAAAACATGCCGGGGATTCCCCCAGGTGCCTCCTTCCCGTTCTGTCCCTCTCCTTGTTGCTGCAGGCAAGCCCCCTGCCCAGCAGCATGTCCAGGGGGGTTTATTATGAACCTCATCCTGGCAGAGGATAACAACAGGTGATGCTTCTGAGTCGGCCCTCCTCAAGTTCGTTGAGCAGTCTTACAGCTCTGTGGCGGAGATGAGAGAGAGAAGTCCCAAGGTGGCCGAGATTCCCTTTAATTCCACCAACAAGTACCAGGTATGGAACCTGCGAAGGTTAGGAGAATGGTGAAGGGGGAGCTGGGCCTATCGCTCCAGGAAGGGGAGCTTGACTTTTGCCTTCAGCTCCACCTCTGAGCAGCTCCCCAACCAAGAGGAAGGCTCACCTCAAGAGGAAGTGGCAGGCAGGTGAAGAGAGGTAGAACAGGTGATAAAGGAAGAAGTTCCACACGGAGCTCTGAGCTTGTGCCACCTGCGGAGAGAACAAGTCAGGCAGCCCTTGAGATGCCTGCAGGTGGCCGAGGCTGGTGGTTAAAAGCCATGTTCGCGTCCCATGGTCACCAAATGGCACCACAGTGTCCACTATGAGATTAACCACTGCAGAATTCAGCTGCATTTACAAGGCACTTGATTTCATGCATCATTAGGCAGGTGACCAGGGGTCTCTGCATGTCTGAGAAGTTTCTCGTTTCCCTGGAGTATCTGTATCCGTTACGTAGACAAGAGAAGGGGACATGCTGAGTGGCAGACCGTGGCGACTCTAACAACACAATCCAGGAGAGGGCCAGGAAAGCCGGGCTTTTCTCCCACCTGAGAAGCCTGCAGACTTGGACAAGAGGTTATGGTGGGAGGTGGGAACCAGGACAGGCACTCGGCTGGGTCTGACTTGAGTTGCACGGGGCAATCAGGATTTGCTCAGGGAGTGGATTCTCCAACTCCAAGTGTCACCAAAAAAGCCAGATGTTCACTGAGGATAACAGGAAATGAGACGCCCAAGTCAATCAGTTTTGCTCTTCTGTCTTAAAAAATACATAATAAAATAACGCAAGCTTTGCAGACTTTAAAAAACCAAACTAACTATATTTTCACATTGAACACTGAGCTAGTAAGAGTTAAATCGATTCGTCCTTTTCCATCTCTACTGGTGTTCAGTCGTGTAACAAAATAGGTCTCCCAGGCCCAAACTGCAAACCTACTTCCAGTTTTTCCTGATGTTTAGTGGCCTCACTAACCAGACAGGAATTCTGTGGCTTGGCAGGGCCTTTGACTGGAGCAAAGCCTTTGGCTGGAAAGAATTCACTACCTCTCTCTCCATGTAATGGAAAATAAAAGCACAACACATTCCCGACATCTGTTGGGACATCCAACGAATAGCGACTTTCCTCCAAATGACAACGTCCATGCCGTTTCTGAGCTACTGAACATCCAGCTCACCAAGTCCTCTTCGGTACACCAAGTGTAGCAGGCCAGCCCACTGGCTGTGCGCTCGGGCAGGCCCCTGCTCTGGAGACCCCAAGTTAGTGACCTCAGCTGGGAGTTCCTGAGGCAGAGACTCCAGCCTTTGCAGAGGATGTCTCGGCTTGCTAGGGGTTTAAAGCTCGGTGTCTTTCCCTCTGAGATGGAAACAAAATGTAAATGCTATGCTCTGGCATTTCCAGATCTCTCCCTCCATTTTTCTTCTTTGCAATTTTCTATCAAGAGGTGGCTTTGCTGTGACCAGGTGGCCAGCTTAAGTAGGTCTTCTGTCACCTCCAGGGCCCTTCGCTCATTCAAGAAGAGATTTGCTGAGCACTCAGAAAACTGAGCTTTTAAACCCGCTACAGCTTTCTGCTTAATAAGTTAAGGTTTTTCCTCCTAATTGTTTAAGCATATTTTGAACATAACTGAAGAGATTTCAATGGTACGGTCGTAACCACACTTTACACACTGGCTTCCTACCCTGCTTACCCCGTGGGCAGTGCAGACTGGCCTCCTCTGTGCTCCCATCCTGCCTTTCAATGCACTGATTTTGTTCCTGCAGAGTGGGCATTTCCTGTGGATCACAGGAGACCTGCAGAGAGTTCCTTTTCATGCACCAGAGATTAAGAGAAAATGCAAAACCAATCTCATTTCTCGCTCCCTCTTTTTTTTTTTTTTTAAAGAGACAGGACTCTCACTATGTTGCCCAGGCTGGACCTCCAGGGTTCAAGCAATTCTCCCACCTCAGCCTCCCAAAGTGCTGGGATTACAGGCAGGTGCCATCACTCCCGGCCTCATTTCTCTCTCCTTGTTACGTTATGAATATGCCTCTTCCTGCCCTCACCACACCCTCAAGGACCCCCACCCCAGCTAGTCCCTCTCAGGGGACTTCTCACGCTATTAGGAGACAACGGCCCAGGGACTAAAATGACTAACCACTTTCGTATTGTATCTCACAGTTTTCAAAGTTGTTGTTTTGTTTTGTTTTGTTTTGTTTTTGAGGCAGGTTCTCATTCTGTCACCCAGGCTGGAGGGCAGTGGCACACTCACTGCTCACCGCAGCCTCGACCTCCCTGGGCTCAGGCAATCCTTCCACGTCAGCCTCCCGAGTAGCTGAGACTACAGGCACATACCACCACCCCTGGCCAATTTTTTAAATTTTCTGTAGAGACGATCTCTCTCTATGTTGCCTAGATTGGTTTTGAATTCCTGGGCTCAAGCAATCCTCCCACCTCGGCCTCCCAAAATGCTGAGATGACAGACACCTGGCCTTCAAAGTATTTTTTGCATTATCTTTCATAAAAAACCCAATGAAGGGGTCCAGGCAGAACCTTTTACGTTTTCTAGAAAGAAATAAGGTTTTGCAAGGTTCAGTGGACTGCCCTAAGGTCCTAAGCGTTCTTGTTGGCCCCAGAACACAGGTCTTCCGAGTCTGTTTTCTTTCCCATCTACTCTGCCTTCTTCCTTTGCCAGCCCCATTATCTCTGCTCTCTAGCCATCCACAGCAAGGACATGGGGAAGGGAAAGTGCCCGGCTCTGCCCTCAGAGAGCTTCCAGCCCGTCATTTGTGTGCAAATAACACCAGGCTTCGGTTTCCTGGAAAGGAGGAGGAACCGGGCTTGACCATGGTCCAGATGTGACTGGGACAAGAGAAGGCCAGGAAAGCAGGGTGTGGGGCAGGTCACCTGTCTTTCCAGTCTTCCGAACCTTCCCCTTGTCCTCGGCCCTGATCCTGGCGCCCTCCTGTTCCACGAACTCTCCCTTCCCCCAGGTGTCCATCCATCTTCTGGAGAACAGCGCGCAGCCCTACGTGCTGATGATGAAGGGTGCTCCTGAGAGAATCTTGGAGTTCTGTTCTACCTTCCTTCTGAATGGTCAGGAGCACCCAATGGACGACGAGATGAAGGAAGCCTTCCAGAATGCCTACCTAAAGCTGGGCGGCCTGGGGGAGCGAGTGCTTGGTGAGATGCTGAGAGAGGAGCCTTGGAGAAAATGGCATCAAAGCAGTTATCTGTGGGATGGAAATCTGAGGACACTGGGGGAGCAGAACAATGACGCAGAGAGTTGAGTGACTGCTGGTCCCTGCCTCTGTCTGTCTCTAGGGTTCTGCTTCCTGAATCTGCCCAGCAGCTTCAACAAGGGATTCCCTTTCAACACAGATGAAATAAACTTTCCCATGGACAGCCTCTGCTTCGTGGGCCTGATATCCATGATTGACCCCCCTCGAGCCGCGGTGCCTGATGCTGTGAACAAGTGTCGTAGTGCAGGGATTAAGGTAAACGTCTGCCCACCCCAGAAGCCCCCACCTGTCACAAGCTGGAGAAGCTACTAGAAAGCCTGGCACAGAGTGGGTGCTTAATAATCTTGGTTTAATTGATTTATTTTTATTTTTATGTTTTTGAGTTGGAGTCTTGCTCTGTAACCCAGGCTGGAGTGCAGTAGCACCATCCTGGCTCACTGCAGCCTCAACCTCCTAGGCTCAGGCAATCCTTCCACCTCAGCCTCCTGAGTAGCTAGGAATACAGGCACACATCATCACGACTGGCTATGTTTTGTTTTTTTTTTTGTAGTGATAAGGTCTTGCTATGTTGCCCAGGCTGGTCTTAAACTTTTGTGCTCAAGTAACCCTCTCATTCTGGCCTTCCAAATTGCTGGGATTACAGGCGTGAGCCACCATGCCTGGCCTTTAATTGATTTCTGATTCTTTGACCTTATGACTTTTAGTCTTAAGAGATACTTAGTGGCTCAGTGGCTCAGCCTGTAATCCCAGCACTTTGGGAGACCAAGGTGAGCGGATTGCCTGAGCCCACGGGTTCGAGACCCGCCTGGGCAACTTGGCGAGACCTCATCTCTACAATAAATCAAAAATTAGCCGGGTGTGGTAGCGCGCGCCTGTAGTTCCAGCTACTTGGAAGACTGAGGCAGAAGGATCGCCGGAGCCTAGCAGGTCGAGACTGCGGTGGTTGGGAGTGAGACTCCAACTCAAAAAAAAAAAAAAAAAAGAGATACTTAGTAGTAAGTTTCCTCTCTAGTTAGAATTCTACTTGCATTGAATATTAAAATCACCAGGACAGCTTTAAAAATCTGACATCTAGGACACACCCCAGACCAATCTAATTCAAAGCTCTCAGGGTAGGACCCAGGCAACTGTATATTAAAAACTTTCTTGGAAATCCCAATGAGCAGACAAGTTTGAGAACCAGTGTCCAGTACAGTGTTTCTCAAACTAATGTACGTGTGAATCCCTTAGAGATTTTTTTTTCTACAATGCAAATCCTGATTCAGTAAGCCTAGGGCAGCCCGAGATTCTGAGTTTTTAACAAGCTCCCAGATGATGCTGTTGCTGCTGGTCTGCAGACACCAGGAGCAGCACCGCCGCAAGTGAAAATGTGCGGCTGGGATGGGTTTTGAGGCCAAGAGGTTGGGGATCTGGAGTAGACAGGAGTGAGAATGAGAGGGTGAGAGCTGGCATCCTCCGTGGGGCTGACACCGTGAGTGCAGCTGTCCTAACAGGGATACATCCAGGAGCAAAAACTGGAAACCAAATGAATGCGACCAAGAGTGAAATTCAGCTGCAGAACAGACCCAGAGGGGGAAAGCCCCTCTGGTTAGGGTGGGCCTCAGACTTCATGAAACACCTCCAATGCTGAGATGCTCTGTATCCCACGTGTCCCAGGTCAAATTCCAAGACTCCTACACAACTTCACTGGTTCAGTATTGATACCTGCCCTGCTTATCCCTCTCATTCTGTCTCCTAGACTCAGGAGAAGGCAGGTTAGAGTGAGGGGCTGATGCTCTCTGCTGGAGCCAGCTTTACATTACCCCTGTGGCTGTGAGTGGTTTGTCTGGTGCCAGCTCGGCCCACATGTGCGAGGAGGGCACTTGGAAACCTCAGGTAGTGATTCCCAGGTAGTGATCATTCCTTCATTCTTTCACTTGAGAATCATTTGTTGATGGCGCACTGTATGCCAGGCATTGCGCTGGGACAGGAAACTGAACAAGGAACCACCTTCAGAGAGATCCCAGCTGGGGTGACGGGGAGGGGGTGTGGAGAGACGGCAATCAGTCACTGTCCAGAGAGGTGCTAAGTGCTGAAACACGAAAGAATAAAATGCTTTGCAAACACAGAGCATGGGCACCTGATCTTCGAGTAGGTATGGGGCACGACTAGGTTCCAGGTATTGAAAAGCGAGTTGCAACCAAGGGGTGGGTGAGGCAGTGAAAAGAAGAGAGGTGGAGTGAGACTCTGAATATTCTGGGCCTATATGAAATGTTGCTGTTGCCAGGCATGGCGGCTCACACCCATAATCTCAGTACTTTGGGAGGTGGAGGTGAGAGGATTGCCTAAGCTCAGGGGTTCAAGAGCAACCTGAGCAACATGGCAAGACCTTGTCTCTACAATAAATTAAAAATTTAGCCAGGCGTGGTGGCACACGCCTGTGGTTCCAGATACTTGGAAGGCTGAAGCAGAAGGATCACCTGAGCCCAGCAGGTTGAGGCTGCGATCGTTGTGAGCATGCCACTGCACTCCAGTCTGGGCGACAGAGTGAGACTCCGACTCAATAAATAAATAAATAAATAAATATTGCCAGGCAGACGGACGATTCCAGCATTCCTTTATTACTACTTGTTCTCTGTGTAGGTGTTTCTGTCTTTGCACTTAAAGAAGCAGAATAGCTTCTGGAGCAATTACATGAAATTCTGAATGCAGTCAAATCTTTGTCTGATTTCTGGGAAATCTAGAACCCAAATCACCCTATGGTTTATGGTCTGATGGTCCTGACCCACTCCCAAGGGTTGCAGCCATAGTAGCAAGGCTTTAACCACAAGTGCTTGTCTTGTGAATGAGCTACTAAAACCTTTACTGAAAAAAGCAGTGACATGTCCGTTCTTAGAGGAGAAAGATAAAGGATCTAGGCCCTCTCTGAAGATGATTCTGCTCCTCTTCCCTCCCCAACCCAGGTGATCATGGTAACAGGAGATCATCCCATTACAGCCAAGGCCATTGCCAAAGGTGTAGGCATCATCTCAGAAGGCATCGAGCCAGCAGAGGACATTGCTGCCCAGCTTAAGAACCCTGTCAGCACAGTCAATACCAGGTGAAACCCCTAAACAACTCAGATCTGCCACCTTTGCTCCATCCTCAGCCTGCCCACCCTGATCCAACTTACTAAGGTTCTTGGAGTCTCCTTCAGTTGATAGGATACCCAGGGTTTAACACGTTACAACGTAAAGCACAGTAGAAAAATAGCCAAGTGACTGTGTCGGGGTTTTCAAAGGAAGAGGGACAGAGAGAGGGACAGAGAGGAGTAGTTGGCAAAGCGGGGAGGAGATGGCGGGTGTCAGTTTGGGAACAGCATATGTCTAGGCCAAGTGAGGAGACTGGGTTGGCAGAAGAAACACAGAGGATCTAGAAAAGATGGGCACCAGGAACCCTGGCGAATTCTCAACACTCAGAAGTCGCTTTTTGAAATCCATTTCCCTCAGGGCTGCCAAAGCCATCGTGGTGCATGGTTCAGAGCTGAAGAACATAAACTCACAGCAACTGGACCAGATCCTCCAAAATCACACTGAGATTGTGTTTGCTCGGACCTCCCCTCAGCAGAAGCTGCTCATTGTAGAGGGATGCCAGAGGCTGGTGAGGAAAGCACAGGAGCCCTAGGAAACTGGCCAAAGTCGAATGGTTTAGACCAGTTCCAGTCCAAGCAGAGGAGTGGGTGGGCTGGGCTGCAGGAGACTCCAGAGTGCATCCCATCTTGATCCTCCGTGGTGGCCTTCAGTCTGGGGCTCCATGAGGGTTTAACCCTCCCAGAGAGTAGGAGAAGGAAGGGAGTTCTAAGTCAAGCATGACTGCATCAAGAAATAAGAGATGCTGAAATCAAACCGACCTTTGGATCTGGTCCTGAATCTGACACAGTCATTTTTTTCACTTCCTCTGTCTGGACTTCCCCAGGGAGCCATCGTGGCTGTGACGGGCGACGGGGTGAACGACTCACCTGCACTGAAGAAGGCCGACATCGGCATTGCCATGGGCATTACCGGCTCTGACGTCTCTAAGCAGGCAGCCGACATGATCCTGCTGGACGACAACTTCGCTTCCATTGTCACGGGGGTGGAAGAGGGTGAGGAGGCTGGGTGCCCTGCTTTGGGTCTTGACCTCTGAACTCGGGTGGAGGTTGGTGTACATTCCCTCGTTCCTTTTGCCCGTCATCCAACTTCCATGATCCTTTACAGACTGGGGGAGAAAAGTCACAGTAAGACAAAATTTGCAGCCGGGTAAGGTAGCTCATGCCTGTATTCCTAGTGATTTGGGAGGCCAAGGCGGGAGGATCGCTGAAGGTCAGGAGTTTGAACACCAGCCCGGGTGACATAGTGAGACCCTATCTCTACAAAATTAATTAATTAAAAGACACGATTTTACAAACGCAATTTGGGTGTACAAAGGTCATCACTATCTGCACCTCTTTTTTTATTTTTTATTTTTGAGTTGGAGTCTCACTCTGTCGCCCAGACTGGAGTGCAGTGGCTGCTCCCGGTCACTGCAGCCTCGACCTGCTGGGCTCCGGCGATCCTTCCGCCTCAGCCTTCCAAGTAGCCGGAATTACAGGCATGCGCTACCACGTCCGGCTGATTTTTTGATTTATTGTAAAGATGAGCTCTCGCCAAGTTGCCCAGGTGGGTCTCGAACCCGTGGGCTCAGGCAATCCACGCACCTCAGCCTCCCAAAGCGTGGGATTACAGGCTGAGCCACCGAAACCGGCAGCACCTCTTTTTTATAAGAGCAAAGGAAAGTCCAGATTTTCCAGGGAGACTGGGACCGTGGTATAGCATAACACCTTCTTTGTGCCCTCACTGGAATTCAGGTGGGTTTACAGCAAGTTCCCAGATGCAGCTGTAGCTCCGGCTCTATTCCACGCTCCCCAGTGTTCAAGAGGGCCCCTCAGATCCTGATGTCCAATGACGGAGACACGTCAGGGTCAGCTGGAGCCTGATCTGTGAAGTGGCTGCAGGAGCCCAGTGAAGCCCCTCTCTCCCAGGGAACTCTGGCGTGAATGCCTGTTGGTGAACGTGTGCCCCAGAATTCAGTATTGCAGGCTCCCTGCCTTCTGCCTGAAGCCGGCTTACTAACATGTGGGACAATTCACATAATAATAACAATGGAAACCTAGTATGATCCTGACACTGTGTTTTTTTGTTGTTGTTTTTGTTTTTTGTTTTTTGCTTTTTGTTTCTGAGTTGGAGTCTCACTCTGTCACCCAGGCTGGAGGGCAGTGGCACACTCCCAGCCACTGCAGCCTCGACCTGCTGGGCTCCAGCGATCCTTCCACCTCAGCCTTCCAAGTAGCCGGAACTACAGGCGTGCGCTACCACACCCGGCTAATTTTTTATTTATTGTAGAGACGCGGTCTCGCCAAGTTACCCGGGCAGGTATCAAACCCGCAGACTCAGGCAATCCACTCGCCTTGGCCTCCCAAAGTGCTGGGATTATGGGCTGAGCCACCGAGCCTGGTCTGTGCTCAGTGTTTTATATCCTTTCAATTCCATGAGTTCTTTTGGACACTATGGGCAAGGCTTTTTCTAGATGCTGGGAATGGAACAGTTAGGGGGAGAGAGACACAAATCCCTGCCCTCGTGGGGTAATAAGTAAATTATATAGTGTAGTAGAAGACGGTAAGCGCTATGAAAACATAAAAAGGCAGGGATTACAGTCTTTGGAAAGGAGCTCAGGGAAGGACTTGGCAATCTTGCAAGCCAGGAAGAAGGAACTCAGAGGGCCCCAGATCACACTAAGTCATAGCAGAGGTGGAATTTGAAGCCAAGCCTGTCCCAAGCCCAGGTGCATTCCTTCTCAGCCTTCGTCTTGCAAAGGCTTTTACGCTGGCATTTTCAGACATCTCAGGATTCACCAGACCCAACCCCACTTGATTTCTAGAGATCAGATCACGTTAGCCATGTTGAATCCAGGAACAAAGAGTACACAGACGGGACATGCCAGTAAACCACAGCTCTAATTAAAAGACACACAACTTAGAAACAACACTACGACGGCTGAGGTCCAGGACCCCAGGCCCTTTCCCGGACTGTGACACTTCTCTGCAGTGGCCTCTGTGTCCAGGAGCGGGTTTGAGGGAGGCGTGTGCTCTTGCTGCTTCTCACAGAAGGTTGCCCACCCTCACCAGGCCGCCTCATCTTTGACAACCTGAAGAAGTCCATTGCTTACACCCTGACCAGCAACATTCCTGAGATCACCCCCTTCCTGATGTTCATCATTCTCGGTATCCCTCTGCCTCTGGGCACCATAACCATCCTCTGTATTGATCTGGGCACTGACATGGTAAGAACCAAGCTGGACCTGGCTCTCGGAACCCCGAGGAGATGCACTGAGGCCATGTCAAGGGCAGAGTGGGAACCACTGCTAAGGTCCCTCTGAACTCTGCGACTCCTGTTGTCTCCACCCTTTGTCCTCCAGATCCCTGCTATCTCCTTGGCTTATGAGTCACCTGAAAGCGACATCATGAAGAGGCTTCCACGGAACCCAAAGATGGATAAACTGGTGAACAACCGTCTCATTGGCATAGCCTATGGACAGATTGGTGCGGCCAGAGGAATGGGAGGTGGAGGGAGTGGGGAGGGTTGCCCCTCGCCTGGCTGTTGGAGCCATCTCAGTTTGAAAGTGAGGGATGCCGGGCTCGGTGGCTCAGCCTGTAATCTTGTGTCTTTGGGAGGCTGAGGTGAGTGGATTGCCTGAGCCCACGGGTTCGAGATCCCCCTGGGCAGCGAGACCTCATCCCTACAATAAATCAAAAAATCAGCCGGGCGTGGTAGCATGCGCCTGTAATTCCGGTTAC